ACATTTTTAAAATTTGGATTATTTTTAATTACGCATTTAATTAATTTTTTCTTGGTCCCAATTCACCATATATTTTTTAAATGGACTCCAAATTCAATTTCCATTTATCTCTTCGTCTTCTTTTTTTAATTCTTCTAAAACCAAAATCAAGGAATTTCTAAAAATTATTACCAAAAATAAAAAAAAAATTACACGATCAAGTGAATTAAATAAAGTATATTTAATTTTTATATTTTTATTTTTATTTTTTTTAAAGTTATAAAACAAAGAGATCAAAAATTTGGCATCCGTAATGACACCTTTCTATTTAAATGACATTTTTTTAGTCCTTCAATTTCTTCATCTTTTCTATTTTGATCCTCTGTCTTTTTATTTTGCTTGTTCATTTCGGCATTCTTTTTAGCTCCTCTTAGCTGTATCCCCAATCAACATTTTCTTTTTTTCTTTTTGCTTCATTTTCTTTCTTTTTTCTTTTTGGTCCATTTTTTCCTTTCTCTTTTATCTTTGTTTTGATTTTTTTTTGTTTTTTCTTTGGTTTTTTTTGTTTTTCAATTTAGTAACGATTTTTTGTAGTTGTTTTTTTTTTCAATTGCTTTCTCAAAGATTAAGGAAAAAAATAAAATCATTAATTTTTAAAAAATTACTTGGAATTGCAAAAAATCATATATATATATATATATAGGAATTTTTTAATAAATAAATTTTTATGAATTTTTTAATAAATAAATTTTTTGTGATATCAAAATAGGTTATGACAAAGTTAAATAAAATTAAAAATTAAAACAACAAACAATAATAACAATCAATTGAATTTAAAAGAAAATTAAAATAAGAGACGACTTGTAAAAAAAAAGTCTAGCAAATTCATATTTAGAACCAAGCTTTTATATATATATATATATACACACGCTAATTTCTCAATAAATTTATATATACACACACACATACTAATTTCTCAATAAATTTTTTTTTTTTATCTCAAGCACATTTTTTCATACCAAGTTTCATTGAAATCCTACATTTTTTTATTATTTTTATTATTATCTAGTTAGTTATGGTCATCTAATTTTTTTTTTTGACATTTTTATTATTAGTTCTTTTAATTTGAATAGATATTTTTTTTTTAATTTTAAATTTTAGTAATATAGTCAAACTATGTCTATAAATAAAATTACAAAGTGAATATTTGTTAGATTTTAATATTAATAGCACTTATCAATAAATTTTTAAAAACATAAGTATTTAAGTAGAAAAAATAAAAATATATACACTGAATTAGAAAAATATTAAAATACATACATTTGGTTAAAAAAAAAAAAGAATTCTTCATGTACGCCTATCTATAGGTATGTCAATATATTGATTTGTAAATTTAACAGTTATGTTAGTATTTATTTTACAAAATCTAACATAAACATTGGATTAGAAAATATTTAAAAATTCATACATTCAAATAAAAAAATTCAAAACTTCACATTCTATATATTTAATAATCTCAATTAAAAATAGTGATGATTATAAAACATATGCGCATAGATAGCATTGAATTACAGTTTTACTATTCGTTGTGGATGAAAAACAAGTTATTCAAAACGGTTTTAATGTAAAACTGATATATATTTTTGTTTATCATTTCAAATAATAGTAAAATTATATGATTTTTTTTTTTTTAGTTTTACGAAAAAAAAAAGGTTAGAATTTGATATTTATTTTTCTTTAGAAGAAAGTACACCAATTGAACTAAGTATCGTTAAAAAAAAAAATATATATATATATATATATAATAAAAGAAGTCTACCAAATGTAGGTGTGTGGCTGTCCCAAAGATCTGCTTTATTCCCATTTAGCCCATCACACCGGGACCCACCTCCAACTATTTTGGCCTTGAGATTCCAAAACACCGGGTCGATTTCGTCATTTGAAACGCAGACCTCATAGCCCGCGTTTCGCGGGTTAAACATGAAATTTTGGCGCCAAATAAGAATCAAAACAAGTTGTCAGCAGTAGGGTTTTTTGGGCTTCCCGCCAAAATTAACGGGTAGCTTGGGCAGCCCCAAAAATGGGATGAAACCGCGTGAAAAAAAAAGAAAAAAAAACACTAGAGATAAATGAAGCAAAAGTCAAAGTTGGGCCAAGCAAATGAACGAAAGTCGATGATTGATTGGTGTGCCTGTTTTTGCAAGAGAGAGAGGTTTTTGCTTTTTATAGTTATTCTTTCATAAAAAGACATATTTGTCCTCCTACTATAACATGATTCTCAACTGGATTTAAAAAAAAAAAAAAATCCCAATTAGATTTATTATCTATCAAATATTATCCGATTAACCCATATCATTAAAATTTATGATAAAAACAATGTCTTCGTATGAAAAATAGGTCCTCATTTTCAAAGAATTTTTTTAAAAAAAACAAAGGTTAATTGAATGCGTCTAATAGACGAGCACTCAATTTGAATTTCTTTTGTTTTGAACTCAATTGAGAATGGTAGGATAATTGGAGGATAAGCATGTCTTTTTGCCTGGAGTTTTTTTAACGTTATCATAGTTTCATGTCTCTCAATTCTCTCACAATTTTTAGAATCTTCTTCCTTCGCTTTGGATTCCTTTGAAAGCCCATGTGTGCATGTCTATCTCTATCTCTCCCTCTCCTTTATTTCACGCATAGGATCCTCCCTTTCTCCTATTAATTGCCAAATCCCCCAATTATATCCACTGCAATGGCACCAATTATTTATGCCTTGTTAAGAGTGTAATGTATTCAAAGACTCGAGTTTTGAGTAGATATTTGTGAGAGTTAATAACAGCAGTTCATGAATAGAACATAAATTTGGCAACCTTTTGAACCGAAAAGAAAATAATAATAAAACAAAATTGGCAACCCTAGCTATGAACTTCCATGTGATGTGAGGCAATGAGACAAGGAGGATAAATGATCAAAAAGTGAGCCAAAATATACCCTTTCTGACATGTATTTTTTGTGTTAGAAAACTGCGAGTTCAAATGAATAAAAGAAATATATATATATAGTCTTTAGATTTTGAGAGACACAAAATCTCTCTTCCTTTCACATGATATGCATCAAAGGAGTTTTTCATTCCTTTTCGGTTACTGAGTATTTAAACCAATAACCTTTAAAATATATCAAACCTCGAGAGATCTGCTTATGAAAATTTTGAAACAATTCCTTAAAACTTCTAAAGATTTTTTTTATTTTTTATAAAAAGACTACAAGATATCATTGTCCACAGAGGGTTTTATATAAATTAGAAGGAAAAAAAAAATCTTTACAAGATTATTCATATGATGAGAAGTTTTAATTGCTTTCACGATATAAAAAGTAATTAAATTTTAAAGGCACTAAACATAATTGGTTTTTTGGAAGCGAGACATACTTGGATGAGAATCCCACCCTTGACTATATACACATTAGATCAGCACATACGTACGTCCTTAGCTAAGCATTAGGGCACAGTTTACATTGAACAAATAATGCTTCTTGTTTCAATATATATATATATATATATATATATATATTGAAACTGTATTACGGCTACCAAATACATGATCTTGGCGATTAATTATTGAGGTGTAGCATTCATATTATTTTTGTGGATTTGATGATCTCTTTTTGGTCCCCGCAGACACGTCAATCTACGAAGGCCATTAAAAACTGGGTTGGAACCATTATATATTCGACCATGAGAGAGATTGCAAATCAATATTCATCACGTACGAGGACAGAGACTAGCTCCTTACTCAAAACATGTGTTAATTAAAATTCATTGAATGCGTACATAACATGAGACATTGCTGTTTCCTTTTGAAAAGGATTGACTGCTTCTCCTTTTCAATCTTTAGTTTGTTTCTGATCATCATGCAAGTATGTTTACAATTAGTTATAAGCTAGGAAGACCTTAATTGTTTATATATATTGTTTATCTTATATTTTATCTTTGTCCAGTTTGAATTTTTTTAATTGAAATTTTTTACTATTTTTCAGCTTAATTGAAATCTCTATTCTTATAAATTTGTTGATTCGGACTCTCCGTTATAACATCGTTAAATATTCATCATATGTGACATGTTAGAACTAACAATAAATAATCATGTATAGACCCGTGGATTTGAGGGTCTTAACTTTTTCAGTATACGTCCAAAAATATATTAATTTTTTTTTAAATAAATTTAATATTAAACAAACATTTAGGTTTTTTTAAAAGAAGAGAAAAGACAATATTGCTATAATCTATTATCAGTCAAACATTGTCGTTTTCTCTCTTTATTCTCTTCATCTTCTTCTTTCTCAATTGTAACCAAAAACCCTAATCTCTTAATCAATTATCATTATCTGCTTTCTCAATCAAATGGTCCACTCATCAAATCCAGTTAAAAAAAAAAAAAGGAAAAAAAAACCCTAATTTATCATTATTTTCTGAATTGTTTCACTTGCTAAACTGATCTCCACCCCACATCTAAACCCAACAACCTCGCAAGCTCCTCCATCAGCATCGTTCTCCTTCCCTACAGTCTTGATGCCATCAACCACGAACTCAGCTGAAATCCACCATAAACCAAAACTACCATGAAAGCCCAGCCAATCCCTCACCACTGCCATCCAAACAACCATTTTCCCTGGCCATTTGAACCCCAACGACCCAGCTCCTCCAAGACTGAACCACCCTCCACTCACTGAGCCACACATCACCATTGCTCCCTTTCTCCACCAGTTACGTGAACCATCGCTAGAACCCTCATCAACCACCATTAAACCCAAGCTCTCTCATAATAGAGAAGGCAAATTTCCAAGATCGAAGAACACCTAGTTCCTCAAATCAATAAAGTCAAAACAATTTTAGTTTGATAATCCATAATTAAAGCTTTTATATTTGAGGATTTAGAAAGTTTTAAAAGAGTCTAGTAGATGTTACAATGGTTAGATTTAGAAAGTTTTAAAAGAGTCTAGTAGAGGTTACAATGGTCAGGGGCAGGTTTTGGGCTTTGCTATGACGTGGCTAAAGGGAGATGGACGTTGTAGTTAATGGTTGCTAGAGCTGAGTTGTTAGGTTTCGACAGGCTGGAGGATTGTGGATTAGACAAAGGAGTGGTTGGGACAAAGGTTTGGATGAGGAGTGAAAAATGATCGTTGCTGGATGGTGGAGCAAGCTGTGGTGGTGATGGATGGTTGGTGGTCTATAATGTTGTGATTGTAAATGGTTTGCGGTGAAAAGGAGGTGTTGGTATAAAGAGAGAGAAATAATAGTGCTTGTCTTTTGTTTTATTTATTTATTTAGGGTTAATATGGTGGAACAATATAATCTTTTACCATCTTTTTTTAAAAAACCTAAATGTTTGTTTAGTATTAAAATTATTTTAATTTTTTTTAAGTTCAAACTTATATTGAAACAATTAGAGCCCACATCATCATATGTCTATGTCTGATTAGTTGATGTTAATTTTAACATGCCACACCAAATGTATAGTTAACGAAAAGTCTGAATTAATAAATTTATAAAAACAAATAGTTTAATCAAGTTGAAAAATCTTATAGGGTTTTAATAAAAAAATATATATTCAAATTATACAAAGACCAAATGTAGAGTAAAACCTATATAAATATAGATAATGACATTTTTTTTATATACATAAATGTGGATGGACTAAAATTCCAATATTTCCTTGATATCATAGACCACAAATTCATAATGCCAATCACTTGTATGAGTGATGTGGATAATAATTGTGAGTGATTAATTAATTAATTGAACTCTTGTAAATCTTAAAAATAAAAACTATATAGGAGTACTAGCTAGTGCTTAGATGTAGCTACTTTGAAAAATCTGCAGAAATTAATATTAGTTGCACATGAAATTTGCCTTGCAAAATCTATTGCTTCCTAGGCGGCAACAATGAAAAAGGTCAAAATTGTATACTAAAGTCAATGTTTTTTTTACAAGAGAGAGAAAATGAAAACAACCTATGTCATCCCATGTAGCATTAACAACACCATTATAGAGAGAAGGAAAAAACAAAAAAAAACAAGTGTTGCTTGACAAATAAAAATTAAATGACCAGAACCAGACAAAGTTAGACCTTAATTAATTTTTAGTACAAGCTTTACTGTATGCTTTCTTAAAGTATCATAATCCCTAGGAACTTTGGTGGCTTGTTTTAATATACAAAGAGAACCTTGAATTAGGTAAACCCCCTTGTCACCTTTTAAACAAATCCCTTGATGATCATGCCGCACTACCTTGTCCACTCCTTTAAAAATTGGCTGTCCTGCAAATGATTTACATGCCTGAAATCTTATCCACAAACACACCAAATCGCCATGTCAAACACCAAAGTTTTACATAATGTCCTTGTCACCAAGTGCTTGAAAGTGGAACCAAACAATCCATCAACCCCACATAGGATTCTAACCTATCAAATTATTTGGTTTTGTCCATTTTATAATAAGAGAAGCATTACTAGGAACTTGGCTTGGAGTTAAGATGGTCATATAAGTGGGGTATATAGAAACATTAAACAAGAAAAGAGATTGGCAGAGCATAAAAGAGCCAAAGAGCTACCTACTTGAGGCTCTAAGCTTATTGGGTCATAGTCAAATTAATTGTGCGAAGCATATATGCGTGCAGCATCTCAACCATAAAAGATTTACTTTCTTTTATACATTTCTTGGGTAGCTTTTGGCTGCCTAGCTACTCCTACCCTTGATATTCTCTCACGTATGATAGCTTATTTACATCATACACGTGCGCATTTGCTTGGGAAGAGAGAGAGATGCTACTTGCAAGGTGACGGTGGAGGTCATTAATGAAGGTAGAACCAGTTTGAACTCAAGTTTGAACGCTCAAATTTGGCTCCAAAAAGCTAACTATTTAGACACAATAAATTGTTGATTAGCAAAGAGGCTTCAAGAATGATTAGAGAAGCAGAGCAAATGTGAAAGTGCTGTGCACTGGCATGCTACTTCGTGATTTGTGAATTTACCAAGCACACTTGAGAGAAAGAGAGCGCGAATAACATAATCCTCCACCAAAATCAAACTACCTATGCTTCAAGCTTTAAACAATCTCATAATAATAGAAATACCTTCAAGCTTCGAACAATTTTTTGGTAAAATAATTGCATTCCTTTCCAGTTCCAGCACAAGCAATCTTGAGTATAAAATAATTTATAAATCAAGTAGCAAAGAAAAAGATGGAACTTATCACTAACAAAAATGGAAAAAAGGGCTAAACTGAACTAAACTACACTAACCATTCCATAAATATCATAACTTTGTACATCTTCAACTCCTAATCATTACCAAGTACGAAGACATTAAAAGACTAACTAATACATAAAACACCCAAAAAGAAAGGAAAAAAAAACCCATTAAATAGAGCAAGGCTCTACAAAATCCCTAATTTCTCGAGTCAACCTCTTTTAGGCTAAACTAAGCTAAACGCTCAATTTGCTTTCTCAACATAACATTTAAACACTGTTTCCAAATCAGGAGGAGTAAAGAACTCCCTAACACCGCTGCAGTTACACCTTGAAGAAGGCCGCCGCTTCCTTGGAGCTGGTGGGCATGACAATCTCTCTGGTATCCTCGCCTCTTTCGCTGTCGGCGTAGTAGAAAACTCCTCCTCTTCGTCATCATCGCAATCTTTGACGGGTCTTGGTTTCGTGTTTACAGGCTTCAGTGAAGTCCTTATTGCAATTCCAGCTATCACCCATTTCTTCCCTTCAGAGTCCAAACCTGAATCCACCTGTGTCTTCTTTGAAAAACCCATGTCTAATTAGAACCAAAACAGAGAGATGGCAGCTCTCCTAGCAAGAGGGAATAAGAGAAAAGGGTCTTTGGATGCTAATTTTTGGAAGAAAGAGAGAGAGAGAGAGAGAAAGAGAGGGAAATGAAGAGAAAATTGGCTTTGAAACAAAGAAAAAGAAGGATTTTTTTAGGGAAAATTAATAAGAAAGATTTGTGAGATTGAGAAAAAACAGAGATTTTATGTACTTATATTTGACTAGGACAAGAAAGACCAAAATAAAGCGAGGAGAAAGGGGCGGCTGCCCGGGATTATTACGGGCAGATAAAACCGAGTGAAATCATTTTTGGCGCCAAATTTTCGTGTTTTCATCAGCAACGGCTCTTTTTCCCGCCATAGTTTTCTGTCTCCCAGTTTTGACCTTTTCACACTACTACTATTTCCTTTTTGGGGAGGGATGCAGCTAAGTCAGGGCACAATCACCGGTACGCGGTTAATTGAATGAAAACGTCGTCGCTTTTTGAGAAGTTTTACTATTATTATTATTATTTATAAAGTTTTATTTAATCTTCTGATTGTCCTCATAATTTTTCTTTTCTTTTGGAGAATGAACATAAACATTTTTTCTTTCCTTCCACACAGATCGGCATGAATTTTAATAGAATTTATAATTAAGGCGATTCAAAGCCCAAATGGACCTATACTTTACCTTTAAATGAAATAAACTTCAATTAAAACATATCAGTTGGCTTTCTATCAATAATAATAAAAAAAAAAAAAGTAGCTTCAGTTATTGTATTCCTAATGTTTCGAAACTATAATAACGCCTAAGGTGCACTAAAACATAAATCCAAAATAAGAACAATATTTAGAAAAAAGACAAAACCTTAAAATTTATGCATGTATTTGTGTTCATTGTTAATTTTTATCAATATGTTTTTAATTAAATCAATTAATTCTTCTTTTTTTCTTTTTTTTTTTTGAAAAATTTCAATTAATCTTTGTTCTTTAAAATTTTTCAATTAACTCTATAATTAACTTTTGTCAAGTTTGAATATTAACTATATAATACAAGTGCATGTAGCATTGTTAAATACTTTTATATATAAGATGACCGTTTACATTCATGTAGGACCTAACATAAAATAAATGATTTTAGAAAATATATTTGAAAAAATCAGACTTTTTGAGGATATGGTTAATTTTCATTCAGATTCGTTCTTTTTTATTTTTTTGGATATTTTTAAGATTTCCGATTAACCTAATAAATAACTTTTGGAGATATGGTTAATTTCAGTCAGGTTTTATAAATAAAAAAAAATCAGACGGAAATTTGGAAATAAAAATATTTTTAGACAGAATGTTGGACATTTAAAAATAAAATAAAATAAAATTAGAGCAAGTAATAGACTAACAGTAAAGTTTAGTATAGTGTAATGACATATATGGTTGACGAGGTCAAGGGGCGAACTCTGGGCTTTGACCTCATAAAGATTTGATCGGTCTTGTTGTGAACCTCCATCATTTCCAATGAACCCAATCCAAGGATCGAGTGCTTAGTTTCCTTTTCTACAGCTCAATAATTAAAAAATAAAAAATAATTGTCCTGAGTACCTTTTTCATTCCCTTATATTTTGTTATCTATTAACTTAAAAATGTAAGTAATCTTAGTCTAAGCTGCTGAAATTCTTGATACATGTTCTCTGCCTATAGTTACCCTATCCTGGCTAACAGCTAATTTGTAGTTTTTTTTTTTTTTTTTTTTTTTTTTTTTTTTTTTTTTTGTGGACGTATTTCTTATACCATTGAAGAAAACAACATATTTTCACTTTGCAGCTTATTCTTTCAAACAAATGATTCTATCAACTGTGAGGGAGAGTTATTGAATTCATGTAATGACTTGTTGGAAGTTCAAGTTATACTAAAATACATATAAACTGGGTCTAATACAATTAAAAAGCAAACTTAACTTTGGAAAAAAAAAAAAACATATTACCCGGTCATAAAAAAAAAAAAAGTATGAATGAATAAATAATTGTATTAAGTGCTGTCTTGTAACTTTTGTTGTGTTTAACTTTACAAAGTAATATATGGTGCTAGTTAGTTTTGATAACAAAAACTATAATTTTTTTTATTAAATATTGTACACGATGGAGATTTTATGAATTGGTACTTTTTTACTTTTTGATAATGGATGTAGTGTCTATCTAAATTAATATAGATGAATAGATTTAGAATTTGAGACTAATTTGATTTCAATAACGAAAATTTTCTTATTATTATTATATTTATTATATTTTATGTTATTTTGCTATTGCCATAAATTTTGACTTCTTGTAAATTTAACTCTGGGTTTAATATTGGTCTTGGACCTAGTTTCATTATTTTTAAAATGATATGACCGTTTGATTAGCTACCAAAAAAAGAGTCATCCCACATCAAGATTAGCAACGGATTTTTCGTCACTAAATTTAGCAACGGATCGAGAATCCCGTCGCTAAAATTTAGCGACCAACGAATCAACGACGAAATTTTATCCGTCGCTAATCACAATCGAGTGACGGAATTGTTGCGTTTAGCGACGAATTTTCCGTCGCTAAAATTAATTTTTTTATAGCGGTAATTTTTTCAATTAAATTGGAAATCATGCATTCCATAAGGAAAAGGTATTTATTAAATGATTTAGTCTAGCTAATTAATTAAAATAATAAGGGATTATTATTATAAATAATCCAATTTTTTAGGATAAATAGTGAATTTACTAGTCAACTAGTTTTTATTGAATTACCAAGAATAAATTGATTTGTCATGGTAATGGCCAAATTAATAAATTCGAATTTTTATGGGAGTAATTAAGTAAAATTAAAGATGCAAATCATGTTAATTTAGTTCAAAATATTATTTAAAAATGTTGAGACTGGATTTTATAAATATAGATTTTTGGGCAAAATCATGGGTAATGTTCCTACACAATTTAATAGAAAAAAAATTGTTATTAAGTATAGTTGTCTTGAAAAAAAAAATTGTATGTCTAGTTCCAAATGAAGGTGGACCTAAAAATTAAAATAAATGAGCTTTCGTAGCAAATGTCAATCAAATAAACGAGTAAAAGGAGACGTGACTTGATGTCTCACGTTTATTGTATTTGGAATGTAAGGTATTTTCGATAATATTTCTCATCTATCTAGGTTCTAAGTTAGAGGTGTTATATATGATGACAAAAAAGATATACTCGAGTGAGAAATGATTGTTTTTCCTTCTATTAAGAGAACAAATAAACAAAATTAAAAAAGCTAGAAGTAAGAAAGAAGATAAAGGAAAAAAAGGCATAGATGTGTCAGAAGTGAGAATTAATCACAGTAAATGAGACGATAAAAAAGCCCTAGTATAGAAAGCCCGTTCTAGAGATAAAACTCTCGAGGGGATTCACCCCTATCTTCAAGTTTTGCCAAATGGTGATTTTGATATTTTGTTTTGAAGTCTTTTGAAGCTTCCCTTGTAAGGTTATATGTGCAAGATCTTTCTATATTTACAAATGATTCAATGTCCTATTTAATATAGAATTCTCGTTTCCTTGTTCGAATGGGATTGTAAATTGTCCTAATTAAGAGTTTTCTTGTTAGAGAATGCCTTTCAAGATTGGTTTATTATAATTCCTTTATGGACAAGTAGGTTTTTACCTATGGATATTTAGTATTTAAGAAGAGCTATACTCATTGTATTCTTTGGTCACCCTCAAATCCCATAAATTTTCAATACATTATTATCTCAAGTTTTATGCTTTCTAATTTATTTTTCTTTATAATCCCGTTTTGTTTTACAATTTACTTTTATAAGTTTAATGTTTTTATTTACATCTTTATTTATCAGTTTTTTTTTTTTTATCATAACTTCGTCTTTTACTTTTATTTTATACTAGTTCTAGTTCATCACAAACCTCTCGATTTGCTAGGATGTTTTAGAACCTTAATCATTTGTTTGATCTATTTGGTTCTAGTTATTGTAGAAATGACATCTTGTTTGACCACGAGGTAGATGTTGCCTCTATACAAACTCAGTTCTAAGTATTAATTCTATCTGTTTGAAAACGAATTTATTGACAACAGAGTCAAGTGGTACGTTATTTTATTCTTATTCATAACTATATATAAAAGCATAAATTTCTTAAAATTTTTGATATACCATTGTAAGGCCAGAACTTATAAATATCCCTTGAACTATCGATTTTTTTTATTGACACCATTTATTTATTCAGTTATTTATTATTATTATTATTATTATTTTAATACCTGAACTATGAGGTATTTGGATGGAAACTCCGTCTGTTAGGTTTCAGCCACTATTAGTGGCGAGACCATCACCAAATGAAAGGTTTGGTTGATACCAATTCATTGTTATAAACATTGAACCCAACCATCGATGAATTTGAGCTGTAAGGCATGAAAATTTCAGATGAAAAATCTAAAATCCAAATTTTTGTATTTGATTTTAGTTTTAAAATGATTTTTTATATCAAAATGTTGTTTGCTAGGTTGAAAGAATTATTTTGATAGTCTTTTGGAGTTATTTGATGATCCTAATAGTAGAATTTAGTGGTGAACAATGACATAAAGGGTTCTAATCCAAACATCCCATAATTCATATATATATATATATATATATATATATATATGAGTGTAAATCAAAACGGTCAAGAATTCTGGGAGTTTTTGTACGGTTTAGTTTACTATTACCCATGCCATAAAAACAATATTATAATTTATCTCAAAACTAATAGGCAATCTTAACCTATCTCTTAAATAATAAAGATACCAATATAGTAGAATTCTTATAATTAACAAAGAAAAAAAATAAAAGAAGATGATGATTTTTCAATTGCACTCTTATAGCTCAAGACTAAATTACACTATTTACAAGCACTGTTTTTTTATTGTTCATCAAGGCTTAAAATTATTCAAATGTCATTTAGCATGAAACAATGTTGCTTTTTCAAAAAAATTTAAGTGATTTTTTTTAAAATATATTCACTTAGTTTTTGGCATTTGAGATTTGTATGGACTGATCTCTAAACTCAATTTATCTTAAAACTTGTGTTAGCTCTCAAAATTTTCCCTTGATTTTTCAACATTTGTTTTATTCAAGACATTTTAAAAAATATATTCACATTTTCTCTGAATTTTCTGCATAAGTCCTAGAAAATCTAATAATTTTTCATATATTAAATTACATTGTTATTTTCATTGAATTTTGAGAAAAGTGGGGAGATATAGAAGAAGGAAAAAAGGAAAGAAAAGAAAAGCAACAGAAGAAATTACACAAAAATAAAGAATGAAAAAAGAAAAGAGATAAAAAAAAAAAAAAAGGAAGTAAATAGAATTGATAAAATTAGACTGTTGGTCCTATCAGCCCATAGCACGAGGATTGTGGCTCAAATGGATTCCGCCTACTAATGAAGCTTTTAAGTTAAACACAGATGGGTCGCCCAAAGAAGAGATATGTACAGGGGGTGGGGTTATTCGATCAAGTTCCGGCTCAGTTATTGCTTGTTTCTCCAATTATTATAGGGTAGGTTCTAGCATGAAAGGTGAGATATATGCTTTATGAGATGGCCACACCTTGTGTCAGAAGCCACCGATTTAGCCTATATGGTTGGAATCTGGTTCTATGGAAGCGGTGAATGCTCTTTTGAAGAGGGTTAAGCAGCCTTGAAAATAAGTTCAATAACTTCGACAGTGTCAGCTTCTAATGGCAGGTGATAATATTTTGCATGTTCTTTGGAAATAAAACATAATGGTGGATAGATTAGCTAATTTAGCATATAGTCATGCAGGTCATATGATTTTCTACAATTACCATGATTTTCCTTCAGAGATTATTAGTGCATGTAGGCATGACCGTTTGAGTTTTTACATTTATCGTGAGTAACATATGTGTTCATTCTCTTAGGCTTCTTTGTCTCTTTCTGATTTGGAGCAATGCTGGTTAGTCCCTTTTTGTATTTTCCATTTCTTTTAATAAAATTGATTAGGGTTTCGTCCCTTTACTATTTCTGCTGTGTTTAAATGATCCCGTTACTATATATATATTTTTTTAATCTTAATAACAATCATGTATATTATATTTTTGTCATTATCACATGCTTTTGTCAATTGGTGTTACTAACACCCTTAAAATTCACACATGTTGGGTTCCTACAACATGAATTTTGTTTGATACATATTTTGGTCTTTTTTTTTTTTTTTTGAAAAATTTACTTTGACGCTAATATTTTATTTTTCTTACAAAAAAATTCTTAATTGAAATTTTTTTGGTCATTGGTTTTTATAGTAAATATAATTTAGTCCTTGGCTTTTTTCAATTAAGTCCTTATATGTAAAATCATAAATTTGATCAAAATTAGTCAAATAATTTAAGTGGATAGATGGAAAAGGTAAGCAGTAAATGAATTAAAATAGAGATGTTTGTTAATAAAATTAAAAAAATGTTTCATATGATATTATAGATTTCTTTTATTTATTTTTAAAATTATTTGCTTGATTTTAACCTAAAAAATAGAGATAACAAAAAAAACGAACAAAAATTCATAATAGATTGATGATATTATAAGAAACAATATGTATATATATGAAAAAAAATAAAAATTAAAGAAATTTTTTTTTCTAAAATCGTTTTTACTATAAAATATGATGACAAAAAACTCTCAGTTAAGAACTTATTTGCGAGAAAAATAAAACACAGGAGCAAAGTATTTTTTTCAAAAACGTAGAGACCGAAATGTATATCAACGGGAATTCCATGATGTAGAAATATAATATGTGTCAATTTTTAATGACGTTGGCAACACCAATTAATGAAAGAATGTAATACTGATGAAAATGTAATGTACACGGAGGATATTACGGAGGGAAAAAAAGAAAAAAAAGAGAGCAATCTTTTTTTAAAAAAATAAATAAATAAATAAAAGAAGTAAAGAGATATACGGTGGGGAGCTAATCTTGGGGTCCAACGGGCGGCTACTTGTTCCTATCCAGGCATCCAATTGGAAGCTTGTTTAACGTCATAGCTGATCTGGCTCCACGCAGCCATAGATGGTGGTGACCTGTGCCTACGAGGCTTCACATGTTGCGTATTGATATGGGTCCCATCACAATGGGACCTACTGTTACTGGCTAATTTTCCCCAACCATTCTTCTTTAATTGTTTTCATTGACTGGCGTCTGGACTGTGCAAATCCAAAAGACGTACCGTACACTCTTTGATCATGGCCGTTTGATTAGTTTATGTGGAATGTGATGTCATTGTCCTTTGTCCGATCGACCCCATTTAAAGGAATGTGAGGAGTTTGGATGATAGAGTGACGCTAAGGCATAGGTGAGTGAAATGAAAGAAATTTCATAATACTTGAGAAATAACTAATTGTACGCATAATAATTATTTTATAGATTTATTTTAAGAAGAGAAATAGATACATAAAAAAAATTATATCAAGATCGATAAATTTTATAATACTCAAGATGTAATTAATGATATGTATAATAGTTACTCTATGAATTCATTTGAAAAAGAAAGATAAACATATTAAATTACATCCGGATTCATAAAAAGCGATAAGAAAATTTCTATGTCGACTCAATTTTTTTTTAATTTTCTCTCTCTTGTTTCTCTCTTTTTTCCATATGTCTATCTCTCTTTTTTAAGTGGGTTCATAGAATAACTACTCGTATATGTCATTAGTTACTTTTTGAGTATTATAAAATTTTTCCATCGAGATCTATAAAAAGTGATAAGAAGATTTTTACGTTTATTTAATTTTTTAAAATTTTTTTTTATAAGTCTATCTCTCTTTTCAATATGAATTCATAAAATAACTATTATATCATTAGTTATTCTTTGATTATTATAAAATTTATCAGTAAAATGACATCATGAATGGAAGGGGATGGAGAAATGGGATTCAATTTTCATGAGGTTGTCATATTTTGTAATAAAATATGTATAGCTATTTAGATTTAGTACCGAGCTAGAGCTGTCATGCCATGACTTGTAGCATCCCGCAACACTTACAAGCGTACCCGTCAGGCTTTTAGGACATATCATATCAAAGTCACGCTCTAGGGGGTAACAGGTATTCTTGACTATTAGAATTGAAACTTTACATAAAATTCTCATTAATATGTTGATTTTTTTAACTTGGATGTCAATACTTTTAACCACAAGAAAACGATCGATAAACTTAACTTAAGAAATACGGTAAAGAAAAATATCAATATATATATATATATATATTAACAACGATATCACCTTATTATAATATACAGGAGACAGGGGAGGCAGACAAATTCAGCAAAGTAACTTTTCTTCCTTTCAAAATTCCAATTATGAAAAAGAAGACGTTGAGCATGCATGCTGTGACAATTGATTAATCCAAAAGGCGAAGCACTTGCATGTACATCAATAATTTCAAATCATATAATTTTCTTTGTGATAAAAAAATAAAACCAAGTTGGAGCCGTACCAATTATCCTGGTATTGGGCGGCCATGAAAGACAACAATTTTTTGTTTGGTCGGTTTGATTGAGATTGTCTTCTTGGTATATTATGCTACTTTACACTTATGCATCCATTGCTATAGCAAGCTTAGAAGAGTATAATAACTTCTCTTTTCTTTTCTTTTTTTCACAATAAAGGTGTTCTCGGTTCAATTTCTTATATTTTAATATTAATTTTTTTTAAATATGATTAAAAAATACTCATAACATATAATTTTAAATATTTTAAAAATAAATTTTTAAGAATGTTACGTATGAAAATCGAACTCTTAAACTGATTTAATATTTATTTATCAACCGACCTTTTCTTTGTGGTTAGAAGAATATAATAATTATGTAAACTATGAGCAGCAAAGAAAAAATTAAAGTGATTTTCTTAGAGGGGATTCAGATCTAATTCTTGCCCACTTTTTTTGACTTCTGCCACTTGGACGGCTCGTATGGTCATCAGACCAATCTAGCAGATTACATCACCAATTTCGGCATCCACATCACCATATCGTGCCATCATCACCATCCACGTCAGTAACGTAATCCGCTCGAAACTCCTAGCCGCAAAAAGGATATTCCAGAGCCAAATTGGTTTTTGGCTTTCCACGTCACCATATTTAGATATTTCTATGGCAACTATATATCATTTTAAAACTCTAATTTTCATTTGTTTTTACGATCTAATTGTATCTTATACCAACCTATTTATATATTTAAATAAGTTGATCTTAATTTGCTCATACTTACAAATTTATATCACTAGAAAGTTTAGTTTTTGTTCTATAACAAAAAAACCATTTTCCTTCTTCATTTTTAATATTTTTGTCCTAAGGAAAACAAAAAAAAAAAAAAAAAAAAGAAACGAAATACGCCAAGATTGGCTAAAAATCAACGAATGCTTGAGATTTTAATTTTTTGGTCCTATTGACCCCTCTATATAATTTAATTTCGTCGAACTCCATTGTATAAGTGCATTAGTTTGACTTGCTTATAATAAATTGAAACAGAAAATATTTTAAAATCCTTAAAATTAATGAAAATAAAATTTAAATAATTGGGCTGATAGTAAAAATGAAATATATTTTTTTAATAATTTGTTTAAGAAGATTAGAATCTCCTATACTAATCCTTGAAAAAACAAATTGTTCTGTTTGAAAAAAATATTTTTAAATAATAAAAATATAAAATAAATTATTTAAATAACTCTTCAATTTTTAAGTAATAAAAAATAAATTAAATTCTTCAAATTAAAAATGATTTGATTAATAATAAAAATGAAATAAATTTTAAAATAAAAAAAATAATATTAAATTGAAATAAATTGAAAATAGTCAAAAGAAGTTAGACTTTCATAATTCTTCTATCTATTTTATCTTTTAAAAATAATTTTTTTAATCATAAAATAAATTAATTTTTTAAACATTATAAACTAAATTGAAAAAACAGAAATAAAATTGACTATTAGAATCTCATATAGTAACATTAGAAACATATTTATGATAAAAGAAAAATTTGAAGTTTAATTGGTATTAGTAGCTCATATTGAATTGGTTGATAAAAAAGAATAAAAAAAACCTTTACGAGCAGCATCAATTGTGTATCCTATGCAATGAAAGTACATGAAAAAAATTACTTATAAAATAATTTTCATTTGAACATGTTTCTAATTTTTAAGAGTTGAAAAGGTTTTTCTAAATACACAAAATGAACACATTCTCCCTTTTTTTACAAAGAGAAAAGAAAAGAAAATGAAAATTCCTTTTTATTATTTTAGTTATTCTAAAATTGGAGTATTTTTATTAATTGGTTGGGATGGATTTGTAGGACACCAAACGGTGACACTGACATTTTGAGTTGCAAAGATTCCATAATGCCTTCTTTTTTTTTTTTTTTTTAACCCTCTCTATTTGGGTGATAGCTTAGATGGTCATTAAGATATCATTATAGGATAATAATCTTTGGACTTGGTTAAAAACTAACCAATCACAACAGCTTTTCATTTTCAAAAAATCCATCTACGAATTCATTGCTTCTAGACCAATTTGTAGCTACTCTTGCATTCATATCTTCCACCAATTCAAAGCATCATTGGACATGTCAATTTTGATTGATTAACCAAGCAGCTACTTAGAACCAACGTCATACTTATACACCTAATGATAACAAGAATTAAGGATTTTGCTTCAATCTAAATTCATGATATACTGTGGCTAATCCTTTTTGCTTAATCTCACTAGTTCGGTTAAGAACAGCCCTCAAGTGTCTCTAAGGAAAGATCAATGGCGCATATATTACAGTGATGAACACAAGAGTAGAGAGTAGAGACTTGCCTTGAATCATCAAAAGTCTCCTAAAAACAAAAACAAAACTGTATTCAGAAAAGGCAATATAATAGAACCCCACATCACAACTCATAGGAATAGCCTTGTGACAAACAGGAAAATGTTAAAAAGAAGGGGCACCATCTTCTTTTTGGGGAAACATCTCGATGATTTAGTCCAAAAACAGTCGATCCAATTGAATCCTGTGCAATTTTACTACAGATACATGAGTCATTAGGGCATGTGGATGGCCATTCAGTAGGACCCTTTTTTGTATGTTGCCAACTCACTAATACATTACCAGTTGCATTTTGTCACTTCCTAGCCAACTTTAGGAATATATGTATCTGTCGCCAGACAATTACGGGTACCTAATGATCCACCATATATTCAAAGTTGATTAAAAAGTCTATTAAATTTGTAAGTGTAGCAGCATTAGCAGCGAGAGTGAGAGTTTGGATCAGGAATCAGCAAAAACTCCTGACTCCTTCCTGCTTATCATATATCTGCATGAAATGGCAACTGGAGGTGATCGTAATGATATATCACAACCTATATCTTTAATGGTACGTATGCAAGTCTCACCTTATTCCCTCTACTGCTGTCTTTGGCTTTTGATGATGCTTGCATGTCATGATATGAACTCTGCAGAGTGTTGGATTTCTGTAGTAGTGGCATCAGAAGCACTAATTCAGGAAAAAGCATAACAAGTTCGCTAGCTAGCTAGATCATTTGACATATATGTATATTGAAATAAAAAATCCAACCAATTAAGTCAATAAATCATCTTGGATCTGGTGTGAGAGAAGAAATGATGTTGTTTACGCACCGGATGATAAGCGCTCGTTTGATTTATTCTTTGACTACAAGACAAGACTATGTGATCCTTCTCCTTTCTGATAAAAACCAAGAAACTTTGCAGCACCTTGCCCTTCTGCTTTTCTTAAGAGAGTGGAGATATATCATATGAATATTGACTGCTTTTACATTCTTTTGCGAATATCTTCTTCTTTCTACCAAAAAAAAAAAAGAAAAGGAAAGGAAAGAACAAGGATCTGATGGTTGCAGAGATCTTCATAATAGTAATTCATTCTCTGAGATGCATTTAAAGCGGGATGGACGTACACCAATTCTTTGAGAATGTATATTCTGTTTCCTTTTTCTGCCAGTGTGATCCAGCTTGGTCTTCCATAAATCTTTGCCAACTTTCTAGATAGATAGATTTGCAAAATGTCTGATAGGGATGCATATACATGACGTTAATCATAAGCTTAATTAAGATAGATATTCATTCATTTGCCTAAGCCGTTTTGTAATGGTACAAGTCACTCCATAATTTACCTGTAAAAATTAATTAGGGAGTTTCAAAATTTTAAATGATATGATATATAGGCTGCATTACATTTATATTAATCAGATATTCACGTAGCCAGGAAAGAGAAGAGCTTGAAACTGTACATACCAGCTTTAAAGGCAATGCTGTAGTGCCAGAGGGTGGAAGTTTTTGGAATCACCCTCAATTGCCACGGTTCCAGGTGAAGAAACCTGCAGAGAACAGATTGATCAAGTGCCAATGGAGCTAGCAGAAAAGGAGAGGCCACAGAATGAGAAACAGATGCAGAAAGATGAAGGTTTTAACATTAAAGAAGGGGAGGCAGCTAATGAGAAAGCAGTTGTGGACGAGACCAAACAGATTGCAGAAAAGGACAAACAAGTTAATGATGTTACTGGAACCATTTTACAGATTGAAGAACCATGCCTTAACATTGGAGAAGAGGAGAAAATATTCAAACAAGTTGAAGCAATTGAAGATGGGGAGGCTGAAGTTGAAGGAAAACCAAAGAGCATAGAGAAGGAAATCGGCAGCCCAGAGAAAAATGAGGAAGAAGAAAGGAAGATCGAAGAGAGCATTGAACTGGAAACTAGAAAGGATGTTAGCTCGTTTGATCCAAGCTTGGGTCAGGGAAAAGAAGCTCAGAGTCAAACTCCCAATGTGACATCCAAAAACTTGGACAACCGTGAAACAGTCAAAGAAGTTTGCCTGGAGAATGAAAGCAAAGACAGTAGCACAGATGATAAAACTAGAATTATTGATGAACAACAGAGAGGAGAAGAAAGATTTGAAGGAGTTGAAGAGAAATCAGAGAGTTGCTCTAGTTTCTTAGATGAGAAGGGTCGTGATGTTGTCGAACCAATTGCAAAGATAGAAAATGAGAAAGAAGGCACGGCATGCAGTACAATTGGAGGGGAAACCTCTATGGTAGAAGCAGGCATAGACATTCGGAATGATAAAGAAGCAATATCTGAAATTGGAGAAGGTGTGCAAGACAAACGAAATACAGATGACATCGCTACTGTCGCACATAAAACACAAGAGAAGCAAATAGAAGAAATGAACTCTCAGCAAGTAACCAAGCCTGACATATGCACAGTCTCAGAAACTGAATCAGAGGAAATTATCAAGAAGAGTCTAGCAGAAGAAGGTCAAACTGTTATCCTTGAGAAAACAGCTGAATCTGGCAGCAATGGAGGTGAAAATATCAAGGATGAGATGAATCCTGAACAAAAGCTTGACGGTTTGTTTGTGAAACACGAGAAGAGCAAGCAAAGCATAGATGAGGAACTGGCTATGGCAGAGGAATCAACAGAGGAGAGCAGAGACATAGAGAGTCATAATGTGGTAGCAGCTGACAACAACACAAGTGATGCAGTACATATTACTATTAGTACTGCTCAGGAGCATTCAGCAATAGCAGATGAAGACAAAATCAAGGATGCAGTAACCGCTACTGATCCAGAGCCAGAGCATAGGAAAGAAGAGAAGTCTAATTATGAGGATAAGATGGAGGAAAAGTTCCCACAGCAAGATGAAGCAGGAAATGAGAAGATTGAAAATTCCTTGAAATTGACTTCTGGGGAGACAGATACAGCTACCTCAAGTGAAGGCTCTGAAGAAATTGCATCTGCCAAAGAGGATACGAAGGAAGAGAAACTAATTGATGCCAATGCTATCGTAGACAAGGGGCTTCCAATAGAAAAGGTCAAAACCATGCAGATTCTTGAACCTTTATTTATTCAACAGTTATAACTTTTAAATGAGTATTTGTAATTCAAGTCCCCAAACAACGTGAAAATTCAACATCAATAACGACAACATGATAACCAACTTGTCTATCCTTCTTGCAGGGTCTCCCACCAATGGATTTGAATGAGAGGATTGAAGATGCAGAACTGGAGCTTCAAAACAAGAATTCCATTGAGTTGCACATAAGTCATCGATTGGAACAAGAAACAGTATTAGTAAAAGGTGAAGAACAGCAAAAAATCTCTGATTTTGTACCTCAAGAAGAAAATGGACTATCTAAAGACATGGTAAAACATGTTGAAGATGCCTCTGAAGCATCTGAAAGCATAAAGAACACCAATTTAGGGCATCCGTCTGCAGAAGGGGCACTAACAACAGAAGCGAGCTCAAAAGCAAGTGAAACGGATGTTGTGAAAGTGGAAAAGGTTCATGAATTGGAATCCAAAGAAAAGTTAGAGATTGATGATGCTGGGACAAACTTAGAAGAGGAAATGCAAAAGAAGGAAGAAACGGATGATGAACAGAAACAGACATGTCAAATGGTAACAACAAGTGAGTTCTTTAAAACTTCAAACCTTCTCACTCTCAAATTGAAGCAGAACTCTTTAAATATCACAATAATACATATAAATGAAGAGGACAAGCACGTGAGTTTATCAGGTAATGACAGGCCCCAAACAATCATTGCAGGTGGTACGATTGAAGAAGTAACCTCAGATAAAGTCTGCAGTAGAGAAGTTGTTGACGACAAAGTAGAGCATAGTGTTCAAGCAGCAGGTCTTCAGGAGGCAGAAACACCATTGAGAAATGAAGTTGAACAGAATGATGGAACAAGTAACATTATAAATGAAGAGGTACCCAACAACACATTGATTAACACTGAATCTTTTTTATATTATTTCCTTAAATTCTTTTTTATGATATGGTGGTGTTTGCTAATACAGGTGATTGATGAACCTAAGATCACAGACACTGGAGAGGTCATTGATGAAGAGAAAATTAAAGATGATACAACAAACCTTTCATCAGAAGTAATTGATGAAAAGGTGGTTGAGAGCTTTCAAGACAATGAAATGGAGGCAGAGGTATCAAAAGAAGAGTACGTCAAAGAACAGACGAAGGAGGACCTAAATACTGAGGACATCTTACAAGAATCTATTCAAGAAGCCTCAGTTAATAACTGCCAAAATGATGGAAAGATTGCTGAAAAGTCCAGCAGAGAGGTCAGCATGAAAGTGAGCACATCATTACTTTTCATCGCATCTTAGCTCTACGTCTTTTCAAACTAAAAAGTTAATTTCTTGTTATCTTATCCAGATGCATGAAGTGTCTGAGGCAGCGAAAGAGGTTGAGACAAACAATAATGATGAAAGCCCTGGCTCAACTCTACAAACTTCACTGCTAGAAGAACAGGAAAGCCTGCAAACTGAAAATCTAACTGTAGCAGCAGAGGAAAAAGATGAAGACGGATCTTCTATCAGAAAGGATGAAGACGGAGAGAGTAATAGTGGGCTAAAAGAGGTTAAGGAGTGCAGTGAGCAAGAGACGTTGAAAGGTGAAGCAGATGTAGAGCAAATGTTTCCAAAGAATGAGCTGCAAGAAAATCTTGAACATTCAGCTAGCATGATATCTGCAGAAAGGGATGAAGGTGCCTTGAATAAAATGACTCAGAACACTGAAGAAGAGATAGTTGAAGGTGTTGAAGACATCACGAAGGAGGCAGAAATGGGAAAAGAAGAGGGCGAGGAACATGCCACTGACGAGAGCAATCCTAAAAGCATCTCACTAGAATCCATCAAAGAAGTTCCGGTTAGCAACCCACTGACTGATGAAAAGAAAGCTGAGGAGTTCAAAGGAGAGGTGAGTGTAAACTCTGTCTCTATCAATTTTATTCCATACTCTTATTTGTTGACTGAAAAGTTTCAGTTTCTTAAACAGATTTTCGATGCAGTACCAATTACTATTAGTACTGCTCAGGAGCATTCAGCAATAGCAGATGAAGACAAAATCATGGATGCAGTAACCACTACTGCTCCAGAGCCAGAGCACAGCAAAGAGGAGAAGTCTAATTATGAGGATGAGACGGAGGAAAAGTTCCCACAGCAAGATGAAGCAGGAAATGAGAAGATTGAAAATTCCTTGAAATTGACTTCTGGGGAGATAGGTACAGCTGCCTCAAGTGAATGCTCTGAAGAAATTGCATCTGCCAAAGAGGATACGAAGGAAGAGAAACCAATTGATGCCGATGCTATCATAGACAATGGGCTTCCAATAGAAAAGGTCAAAACCATGCAGATTCTTGAACCTTTATTTATTCAACAATTTTAACTTTTAAATGAGTATTTGTAATTCAAGTCCTCGAACAACATGAAAATTCAACATCACTAATGACAACATAATAACCAACTTGTCTATCCTTTTTGCAGGGTCTCCCACCAATGGATTTGAATGAGAGGATTGAAGATGCAGAACTGGAGCTTCAAAACAAGACTTCCAGTGAGTTGCACATAATTCATTCATTGGAACAAGAAACAGTACTAGTAAAAGGCGAAAAACAGCAAAAAGTCTCTGATTTCGTACCTCAAGAAGAAAATGGACTATCTAAAGACTTGGTACAACATGTTGAGGATGCCTCTGAAGCATCTGAAAGCATAAAGAACACCAATTTAAGGCATCCGTCTGCAGAAGGGGCAATAACAACAGAAGTGAGCTCAAAAGCAAGTGAAATGGTTGTTGAGAAAGTGGAAAAGGTTCATGAATCGGAATCCGAAGAAAAGTTAGAGATTGATGATGCTGGGACAAACTTAGAAGAGGAAATGCAAAAGAAGGAAGAAAAACATGATGAACAGAAACAGACATGTCAAATGGCAACAACAAGTGAGTTCTTTAAAACTTCAAACCTTCTCACGCTCAAATTGAAGCAGAACTCTTTAAATATCACAATAATACATATAAATGAAGAGGACAAGCACGTGAGTTTATCAGGTAATGACGGCCACCAAATAATCATTGCAGGTGGTATGATTGAAGAAGTAACCTCAGATAAAGTCTGCAGTAGAGAATCTGTTGACGACAAAGTAGAGCATAGTGTTCAAGCAGCAGGTCTTCAGGAGGCAGAAACACCATTGAGAAATGAAGTTGAACAGAATGATGGAACAAGTAACATTATAAATGAAGAGGTAACCAACTACGCATTGATTAACATTGAATCGTTTTTTTTATATTATTTCCTTAAATTCTTTTTTACGACATGATGGTGTTTGCTAATACAGGTGAATGATGAACCTAAGATCACAGACACTGGAGAGGTCATTGATGAAGAGAAAATTAAAGCTGATGCAACAAACCTTTCATCAGAAGTAATTGATGAAAAGGTAGTGGAGAGCTGTCAAGACAATGAAATGGAGGCAGAGATATCAAAAGAAGAGTACGTTGAAGAACAGACGAAGGAGGACCTAAATACTGAGGACATCTTACCAGAATCTCTTCAAGAAGCCTCAGTTAATAACTTCCAAAATGATGGAAAGATTGCTGAAAAGTCCAGCAGAGAGGTCAGCATGAAAGTGAGCACAGCATTACTTTTCCTTGCATCTTAGCTCTGTCTTTTCAAACTAAAAAGTTAATTTCTTGTTATCTTATCCAGATGCATGAAGTGTCCGAGGCAGCAAAAGAGGTTGAGACAAACAATAATGATGAAAGCCCTGACTCAACTCTACAAACTTCACTGCTAGAAGAACAGGAAAGCCTGAAAACTGAAAATCTAACTGTAGCAGCAGGGGAAAAAGATGAAAACGGAGAGAGTAATAGTGGGCTAAAAGAGGTTAAGGAGTGCAGTGAGCAAGAGACGTTGAAAGGTGAAGAAGATGTAGAGCAAATGTTTCCAAAGAATGAGCTGCAAGAAAATCTTGAAGCTAGCATGACATCTGCAGAAACGGATGAAGGTGCTTTGAATAAAATGACTCAGAACACTGAAGAAGAGATAGTTGAAGGTGTTGAAGATGTCAAGAAGGAGGCAGAAATGGGAAAAGAAGAGGAACATGCCACTGATGAGACCAATCCTAAAAGCATCTCACTAGAATCCATCAAAGAAGTTCCAGTTAGCAACCCACTGAATGATGAAAAGAAAGCTGAGGAGTTCAAAGGAGAGGTGAGTGTAAACTGTCTCTATCAATTTTATTCCATATTCTTGTATGTTGACTGAAAAGTTTCAGTTTCTTAAACAGACTTTCGATGCAGTACCAATTACTATTAGTACTGCTCAGGAGCATTCAGCAATAGCAGATGAAGACAAAATCATGGATGCAGTAACCACTACTGCTCCAGAGCCAGAGCATAGCAAAGAGGAGAAGTCTAATTATGAGGATGAGACGGAGGAAAAGTTCCCACAGCAAGATGAAGCAGGAAATGAGAAGATTGAAAATTCCTTGAAATTGACTTCTAGGGAGATAGATACAGCTGCCTCAAGTGAATGCTCTGAAGAAATTGCATCTGCCAAAGAGGATACGAAGGAAGAGAAACCAACTGATGCCGATGCTATCGTAGACAATGGGCTTCCAATAGAAAAGGTCGAAACCATGCAGATTCTTGAACTTTTATTTATTCAACAGTTTTAACTTTTAAATGAGTATTTGTAATTCAAGTCCTCAAACAACATGAAAATTCAACATCACTAATGACAACATAATAACCAACTTGTCTATCCTTCTTGCAGGGTCTCCCACCAATGGATTTGAATGAGAGGATTGAAGATGCAGAACTGGAGCTTCAAAACAAGACTTCCAGTGAGTTGCACGTAATTCATTCATTGGAACAAGAAACAGTACTAGTACAAGGTGAAAAACAGCCAAAAGTCTCTGATTTCGTACCTCAAGAAGAAAATGGACTATCTAAAGACTTGGTAAAACATGTTGAAGATGCCTCTGAAGCATCTGAAAGCATAAAGAACACCAATTTAGGGCATCCGTCTGCAGAAGGGGCAATAACAACAGAAGCGAGCTCAAAAGCAAGTGAAATGGATGTTGAGAAAGTGGAAAAGGTTCATGAATTGGAATCCGAAGAAAAGTTAGAGACTGATGATGCTGGGACAAACTTAGAAGAGGAAATGAAAAAGAAGGAAGAAACGCATGATGAACAGAAACAGACAGGTCAAATGGCAACAACCAGTGAGTTCTTTAAAACTTCAAACCTTCTCAATCTCAAATTGAAGCAGAACTCTTTAAATATCACAATAATACATATAAATGAAGAGGACAAGCTCGTGAGTTTATCAGGTAATGACGGTCCCCAAACAATCATTGCAGGTGATGTGACTGAAGAAGTAACCTCAGATGAAGTCTGCAGGAGAGAATCTGTTGACGACAAAGTAGAGCATAGTGTTCAAGCAGCAGGTCTTCAGGAGGCAGAAAAACCATTGAGAAATGAAGTTGAACAGAATGATGGAACAAGTAACATTATAAATGAAGAGGTACCCAACTATGCATTGATTAACATTGAATCTTTTTTTATATTATTTCCTTAAATTCTTTTTTACGACATGATGGTGTTTGCTAATACAGGTGAATGATGAACCTAAGATCACAGACACTGGAGAGGTCATTGATAAAGAGAAAATTAAAGATGATGCAACAAACCTTTCATCAGAAGTAATTGATGAAAAGGTGGTTGAGATCTGTCAAGACAATGAAATGAAGGCAGAGATATCAAAAGAAGAGTACGTTGAAGAACAGACGAAGGAGGACCTAAATACTAAGGACATCTTACCAGAATCTATTCAAGAAGCCTCAGTTAATAACTTCCAAAATGATGGAAAGATTGCTGAAAAGTCCAGCAGAGAGGTCAGCATGAAACACAGCATTACTTTTCATCGCATCTTAGCTCTACGTCTTTTCAAACTAAAAAGTTAATTTCTTGTTATCTTATCCAGATGCATGAAGTGTCTGAGGCAGCAAAAGAGGTTGAGACAAACAATAATGATGAAAGCCCTGTCTCAACTCTACAAACTTCACTGCTAGAAGAACAGGAAAGCCTGCAAACTGAAAATCTAAATGTAGCAGCAGAGGAAAAAGATGAAGACAGATCTTCTATCATAAAGGATGAAGACGGAGAGAGTAATAGTGGGCTAAAAGAGGCTAAGGAGTGCAGTGAGCAAGAGACATTGAAAGGTGAAGAAGATGTAGAGCAAATGTTTCCAAAGAATGAGCAGCAAGAAAATCTTGAACATTCAGCTAGCATGATATCTGCAGAAACGGAGGAAGGTGCTTTGAATAAAATGGCTCAGAACACTGAAGAAGAGATAGTTGAAGGTGTTGAAGATGTCACGAAGGAGGCAGAAATGGGAAAAGAAGAGGGCGAGGGACATGCCACCAACGAGACCAATCCTAAAAGCATCTCACTAGAATCTATCAAAGAAGTTCCAGTTAGCAAACAACTGAATGATGAAAAGAATGCTGAGGAGTTCAAAGGAGAGGTGAGTATAAACTCTGTCTCTATCAATTTTATTCTATACTCTTGTTTGTTGACTGAAAAGTTTTAGTTTCTTAAACAGATTTTCAAGGAATCTGTGACATCTGGAACAAATGAGAGCATTGCACATGTGACATATCAGAATGATGGAACCCCCGACACAGCTCTTCAATCTTCAACTGCGAAAGAAGTGGAAATTGTGCAGGGTCAGGGTAAGGACAAATCTCTAGCAGAAGCTTCACCTGAAGAGGAAGGAGAACATGATAGGGCTAGAGGGTCGACAAGGGTTGAAGATAATTCAAGAGAAGTCAGGCTAGAGGAGGATCTAGAGAAGAATGACGATGAAACACCCAAAACAATTGATGCTGTTTCCCACGCCAAAAATCAGCATACTGAATTCCCTAACTCAACTCTTGAAATTTCACCAGTAGAGGAACAGGCAAGCCTGCAAAGAGATAACCTAATTCCAGCAGAAACTTCACCAGAGAAGAAAAAATACGAGGATGGATCTTCTACCGAAAAAGATGAAGACAATGAGAAGAACACTGGGTTAGCAGAAGTGACACAGAATGCTGGAGAAACATTGAAGGCTGAAGCAAACTTAGAGCAAATTTTGCAGAATAATGAATTGATAGAAAATCCCGAACATTCAATTACCATGGCATGCATAGAAATTGAGAAAGATGCTTTCACTAAAATGGTTGATAACCATGAAGAAGAAATAGTTGAGATTCCTCGTGGAAATGCAGAGGCAGAATTGCATAAAGAAGAACATACCGAGGGACATGCCATAGAAAAGAGCAAAATTAATAGTCTCTCAAAAGAATCTGCTGAGGAAGGTCTAATTACGAACTCCCAGGATGCTGCAGAGAATTCTGAGAAGTCCATCAAAGAGGTTAGTCTGACACTTGAAACTATATTTGACTTTGTCATAGTTCCCAGTCTGGTACGTTAAACAAAGACTTGGCATCTTATGCAGATGTTAATAGTTGGAGCAGATGAGACAAATCAGAATGGTGAAGACTGCAACTCAAGTCTTACCATTTCCTTGGTGAAAGTAGATGAAAGTTTTAAGGGTGAAGATAAGAACGTATCTCCAGCTGAGGCTTCATCACATGATGAAAAAGAAGAGCATGAATCTTTGGATGGAGCAGGTGAAGGAAATGATAGCAATCCTGACCTAATTGTGATTAATCAGAACAGCAAGAGGGAAACATCGATTGTTGAAGAAGATTTTGAAGAACAATTGCAGAAAATGGAACCAAGAGAGCCTGAAGAGTTATCAACTGTTATGGCTGCTGAAACTGAGACAGGCACTCTGAGTAACAAGATTGACGATATTACAAGCCAGGAAGAAGTTGTCACTATCCTAAACATTGAAGAAACTGTAGCGAGGGAAAAGAAAGATGGAAGTGAAGATATAGATGTGACCAAAGTCAAAAAAGTTGTAATGGAAGAGGTAATCAATAGAAATGACCCAATGTATTGGTTCTTTCCTCTTCATTTCATTCACTACCGTGACTGGCTGTATCTCAATATAAAAGCTAAGCTAATAAACTTATGAACTTATGATCTTATCTGATACAGGATCTCAAACTAGTTGCAGAAGCATCCAATGCAAACAAAAGCGTGAAGAATGATGTCGAGGAAGAAAATATGATATCGAGTGGAAAAGAAATCGAAACACATGAAAAGACATTTGGATTTGAATCCATACAGAAGTTGGAGGTTGAAGAGGAGAGGAACATAGATGAGGAAATAGAGAATGAAGGCATCAAAGAGGTCCAGCTAAATACATTAATCTTCACTTAATCCGAATCCATTTACTCTTTTTTTCCACTTTTGATTTTTTACCTAGTCTCAACCTCTTTTTCCATGCAGATATATGGAGATACTAAGCTTCCCGGCTTGAGTGAGAAGACTGACCAACACGTCACAACTGAAGAACACACCAGTACAGATATCTCACCACAAATCACTGGAGAAACAACAGCCGAGGAAAAAGCAAAAACTGAAAAGGAGGTTGGCCTGAGAAGTTAATTTATTCATGTTTCTGTTACATGTTGGCATCCCTCTAATTAGCATCTATTATACAGATGTGGGAAGAATCAGTGATAACCAGTGTAGATGAGGACACCAAGAAAAAGGCTCCAGAGGAGGAAAGCGCTATCAATGACCAGTCTAGGATTATATATGAAGGCGACAAAACACAAATGTTGGTAGAACAAGAGGTAAGTTGGACATTATTACTCCAACACTTAAAATTGAAATTTTCTCCTATCATCCCTCATCTAGTATATTTCTCGTTTTCTGATCTCAATCAACTAACACCCAATTCATTCACCTAGCTGCATGAGATTATTCAAACAGCTGAGGAGGATGGCGATATTGGAAAACAAGGCAGTGTTATTAAGGACAACTTGGAGGTGCCTCCAAGTGGCACAAATGAAGAGAATCCTCTACACAAGGAAACAAAAGATGAAACTAATACAGTAAAGCAAAATGATGAGGTCTACTTCTGAATTGGAGCTGGCATTTCTGTTTCATCCATTTTTCTAGTTGCTTAATTATAGTTTCATGTGTTTACAGGTCGACTCAAATTCAGAATTCACTGAGCCTATTGAAGCCAGAGGTTCAGTGGACAGACTAGAATTCGAGATCTTGAGGGACAAACAAGGAGCAAATAGTGACATGTACCTTGCAAAAACATCCGAAGAAGGAATTTTACAAAAAGAAAGCAACAAAAGCCTCATCGAAATCTCCTCCTTAGAGTCCAGGAGTAAAGAAGAAATCTTAGAAGAAGTAAAGCCTGCCGTGAATGATCCTAGCTCAACACCTATTACAGGAATTACAAGAGAAATGAGCTTTAAGGAAGAGGAACCGGAAGATAAAAGACAAATAAAGAGTTTCAAACCAGCTCATCAAGAGAAGGGACCAGTGACAAATGGCACAGAACGAACAGCACTGGAAAATGTGGATATTGATGCTAAACCAGAGGATGCCTCCAACTTTATTGAGACTGAGGACAATGGGATTCCAGCAGGCAGTGGAGCAGAAGAGCTAGAGAACGAAATGCTTAAGGAAACGGCAATTATGGGAAGCAAAGATAACAAAGAGGAGACCACTAATGAGACGTCATTACGTAATGTTTTAGATGATAAGAGGGAGTGTTCTACAATGCTATCTAAAGCATCTGAGCTTGTGACCAATGAAGGAAGCAAGACAACAGATGAAACTTCAACAACATATGAAAACATAAAAATTCCCCAAACTCCACAGGAAACAGAAATCATGCCAAAGGAGGATGTGCCCATCAATGCAAGAGATGCCTCTAAATCAGCGGATCCTAAAATACAAAGTATAATTGAAGAAGTTGGGTCATATCAATTCGACAATCTGAACAAGGATCGTGTGCTAGACAATGAAAAACAAGAAGGCAGAGAAATCTCAAAATTGGAAGAAGTAAGAGGCCTAGCCAATCAGGAAGAGATTTACAAATCGATGAGTTTAAAAGATGAGGATCTGTCAAATGTAGGAGATGAGGCCTTAAAGCATATTGAAGCGATTAGTGCAGAAAGAAAAGAGGCTATCCTGGAAGAAGAGAACTCTACTAAGAAATCTGAAGATAGCTTAACAGAAAATGTTGAAGCAAACAAAGCAGCATTTGAGCTCGAAGCAGGAACCAACAACCACGAGCAGGCTATCAGCACCAAAGACTTTGAAGTTCTAGTAGAAGAGGTCAGAGCAACCTAATTTCTTCTCTCTTTTTTTCCATGTCCTAACAATAAATAAGTAATTAGCTTATATGAATTTGCTTTTCTCCATTCCTTTTGATGAAAACGAGACACTGCAGATGGGTTCTTTAAAAGGGCATGCAATGTGCCAAAAAATTGAACGATCCTTGTATCTACCGAGAAAATTCAAGCCAAACTATCTCACCCTCAAATGTTCATATGTAACGCCAAGCACATTGAGTTACTTATATATTGTGTGAAACAGCTTGAAACTTCGTTATGTATCAAACTAGCTCTTCTTTTTTCTGTTTTCTATGATCACATTCAGCCTTATACTAATCATCAGAGTGTAACAGAATTTTGAAGTAGCGGAATCTGGCAAGAAGCTTGAGGGTGTCTCTGAAACTGAGACAAGAGATCACAGCCATGAAATGATCCCTGAGACAGATCCAGGTAAAGTTGAGAACATGATTGAAATTCAGAATGAGAGTACTTCTGAATCCATGGAACAAAGTTCCCAAGAATCTCAGAAAGTTCAAGAGGAGATAGAAGAGAAAACAGAGCTGAAATTTGAGGCTGAAGGTGATGTAAAAGGAACACAAAACACAGATGAGACTGTAAAGGATGTCATATTGACTGAAGAGGTCAGAATCAAACACTTGGTTAAACATAATTAGCTTCTAAGTTCTGCTGATTTCCTTTATCTCCTAGGCTCAGTTGCTTGACATTATCTCTTTCTCAGGTGCACAAAGAAGCAAAGAAAGCTGATGGTGAAACTCTCAAATGCACGGAAAAGGACGTAAATGACACAAGGGAACTTTATGTTAAATCCACTGAAGATGAAAGGGTTCATGAGGTCAGCTTAAATATAGTACTATTTGATTTATTTTTTTATAGTTTATGTATTTATTTCTACCATGAACATTATTTTGAAGCATCATTACTCAAGCAGGTAGAAGAATCCAGCCTTGGATCCAGAGAATTTCATAAAGCAACAAATTCTAATGAACAGACAGCAATTGTGAGCTCAGACATTCAAGAGGCACCAACCATGGAGGAGATGACGGTTGCAGAAGCAATAGAAGATGAAGATAACGAGATGCCTGCAGTTCTCTCAACCTGCACACCAACTGAAGAATCAGAAGAAATAATCAAGACTATGGAGGAAGAAGATAAGTGTTGTGATGACATCAAGACAACAACTATGGTAGAGATAACAAAGGATAGCTTGGAAGAAGATCAGCTGGATGAAAAGACAGTACAGGTATCTAATATTACCTCAAATGATAGCATTTCTCATACAATTGAAGCTGAGGCATGTCAACAAGAAAAAACCAAAGATAACACAGCACTTGAACTACATTCCTCCAACTTGGAATCTCAAGTTCCAGCTGATGATCATGAAAACATAACAAGGGAGCATGTAGCTGAAGAAAATGAAGATGCAGATGATGTTCAGGAAAACAAAAGGGCTTCTGATGCAGTTTATGAATCCAAAGATCATGGTATCAATGAGCTCAACACAAGCAAAATTAAAGAAGAAATTGAGAAATCCTCAGAAACAGTTGAATCTCTAGGTGCTGAAGCAACAGCAAATGAAGTTGCTACTGAGGAGATTCTCCCAAAAGTTATATCAAAAGAAGAGCAAGGAACTTCAGCATCAACTGAGAGAATGGAAGGAAAAATGAAGGATGTAGAGGTGCTGAGAGACCATCCAAGAATAACAGAGGAGGTGCCCTTGCAAAAGGAAGATTGCAAGGAACTTGACCTATCTCAATTAGAGCTTCAATCCAACGAAGATATACCAAATCAGAGTCCAAATGAGGTACTAGAAGAAGATTGTGCTGAAGCAACAAAAAATGAAGTTGCTACTGATGAGACTCTCCCAGAAGTTATATCCAAAGAAGAGCAAGGAACTTCAGCAACAACTGAGAGAATGGAAGAAAATATTAAGGATGTGGAGGTTCTGGAATGTCATCCAATAGCAACAGAGGAGGTGCCCTTGCAAAAGGAAGATTGCAGAGAACGTGACATGTCCCAATTAGAGCTTCAATTAGAGTCCCAATTAGAAGAAGAAAGTGGAACTCCTGATGAAACCAAAAAAGAAATCAAGGGAGCTCCAGAATTAGGATCCATTGTCGATTCTCAACCTTTTGAAGCACTAAAAGAAGATGAGGGTACTTCAGTTCAGACTGTCCTGGAAAAAAATTAGAAGAGCAAAATCAGACACTCTCATTTGCATTGCTTTCTAAGGAAAAGGATTGTGGGACTGAAACCACGATTGAAAACATTGAAGAATATGGCCAAGAAGTTAAAATACTGGCCGATCCACAAAATTCTTCTTCACCAAAGACAACAGAAGATACATGCTTGCATAAGGAAGAGACCAATGAGCTTGAAGTCTCAGGACTGGGGGTCGACCTTGACACAGGCATACAGAAGGATAGTTTGGATGAAGTCCAAGTAGAAGAAAGTAAGAGCCCAGACGCTGCCTCAAAATTACAGACTCCAGAATATGAAACAAGCAAAGAGGCTTCTGAATTTGTGTCAGAAGACTTTGCTGAATCAGAAGAAACTGAAATCAAAGAAAAGCATCCAGAGGTAGCAGTAACTGATATGGTAGCAGAGGAAAATCAGAGTGAGAGAACAATTGATGCAACTGAAATCATACATGAAGAACTCACAAACGAAGAGGTCAGTTAGAGAATAGTCCTAACTTTTGGCCTCTCCTGCATTTTCAGGCTTTTTTTTTTTTTTTTCCTTTTCCTTTCCTTCTGTTTTTTTAACAAGTATTAAACATTTGATAATATCTAACCAAGAGGAAAAACCAACAGATCATGGAGGAAAAGGAAGATGCCGATAATAGTGACCCAGTAGCAACCCATGGTGAAAAACCAACTAAAGAGAGTCAGGAAGAGTATGAGCTGAAGGCTGAGGAAAGTCTAAGAGATAAGGGGACAGCAAAGAACATTCAAAATGAAGAGGTTAGACTACAAATACTGACATGGCTTTTTACCTAATTTCTTCACTGCTATAAATTTGAAAGTTTTTGTCTTGCAAACAGTTATACAAGGAAGTTGAAAAGGCTGATGGAAACGAGAGAATTGAAAAGCAGATGGATACTGAAAGAATCATTGAGCACCTTCACCTAGCTGCTGCTGAAAATGAGACTATAAAGGAGACCTTTCTGGACAAAGCAGAGGTCAAGAATGTCAAGGAGGAAGGATCCGAGTTGCACCTTGAAAATCAGAGCATTGAGACAACTTCTGGAAATGATGGCAGAACAGAGGCCACAACTGTAAAAGAAGAGGTAAGGTGGCGTTCGACCCAATCCCCAAACATACAAGCACATGCACTAACCATTTATTGAAAAGCCTAGTAGCCTTCCAACATAAAAGGGAAAGAAGAAAACTACACTTTCATTGAAAACTCCAACTCTTTCTATGTTTCATGCAGACAAGATCAGTGTGTTGAGTGAGATATGAAACGATGTAGTACATATTTTCTATCAATGACTTCGTAAAATAATGATGCCGCTTGCTTTATATGACTGGTGTCGATCCCAATCCCCAAACCTAGCTTCAAGCTTTGGCGACAGCCAAAACCATCAACACCAAAATCACTTCTTGAAAATGAAACAAGGATCAAGATAACTTGAAATTATATAATGAGCAAGAACACATAATACTTCAACCTTTATTTGGATCTACAAAGAGATTAAAGGAAAGAAAAACACTTAGAAATCACTCCTTTATTTCAAAATATAAGTTTTCCTTAACATTTCTCATTATTTTGAAGAACAAATAAAGCATAAATATCCCAACGGATTAAAAAAAAAAGTTGCATCAGGAATTTCAATAAACCAGCTTTATGTTTTATCTTATCAGAAAATGGATGTAGAGATATCACAAAAAGAAGGCCCCATGGATCTTGTAGAAGCCAATGAAACCACCCAAGACATTCATGAGGGGGAGGAAAGCTCTAAGACCACTACTGAGCCAATCGAAGAGCACCTTAAAGAAGCAGAAATAGAAGTTGATGAACATCCACAAGATTCTTCTTCGCCAAAGGCAACAGAAAATATATGTTCGCAAAAGGAAGAGAACAAAGAGCTGGAAGTCTGTGGATTAGGAGTTGAATGCAATACAAACATGCAGAAGAACGGTTCAAATGAATTTGATAAGGAAGAAGGCCGAACATCAGATAAAGATTCAATACTACAGCCTCAAGGATATGAAAGCAAGATAAAAGAGAAAGAATATCCACCAGAAAGTGAAAAAATGACAGAAATAACAGAAACAGCAGCATTTGAAAAAACCTCTGATCTCAGGACTAAGACAAGTGAAGAGGCTTTCAAAACTGTGTCAGCGGTTTATGAACACGAAGTTCTTGCTGAGTCAGAAGTAGAACATACTGAAAGCAAAGAAGAAAAGCATCCAGAAGTAGCAGTAACTGATTTGGTGGCAAGAGAAAATCAGAATGAGAAAACAATTGATGCAACTGAAATCATGCATGATGAACTCACAAATGAAAAGGTCAGATAGATTTTTAGACACAACTTTCTGCTTCTCGTGATTTTTTGGTTTTTTTTTTTCTGTTCTCCTTTATTTTTCTTTTTTCTGCAAGTATTAAAATCCGATAACAGCTGACCAAACAGGACAAACAACAGGCCACAGAGGAAAAGGAAGATGCCAAGAATTGTAACCCAATAAACCTCGGTGAAGAAACAACTAAAGAAAGCCACCAAATATATGATCTGAAGGGTGAAGAAAGTCAAGAAGATAAGATGGCAAAGGAAATTCAGAATGAAGAGGTCAGCTTATAAATACTGAAGTATTAATTTTTAGTTTTTACTTAACCTCTCAATTCAGATAAAATTGAAGCTTCTTCTTTTATATGGCCACATAACTTGACCTCCATAGCCGTTTCTTTTTTCATGGAAATGACAGTAAATGATACTTTAGATCTCATTAGTAATAAAAATACAATTTAAAGGTCCTATAGATACTTCTGTAATGAGAATGGCAAACCAGATCAACTTGTGTTTGGATGATAAATAAGTTCATAAATGGCATGACGAAATTGCAAACACTGATGCAATTTAAAAAATAGGTAAGCAATGAAAGGACTAGCGAATACCTTCACCAAACTGCTGTCGAGAATGAGACTATCAAAGAGAGCTTTCCAGATGAAGCATTCGTCGAGAACGCTGAGGACCTGGGAACTAAGCTGCAGGTTGAAAATCAACACGAAGAGAAAATTTCTGCATACGACAGAACAGAAACCACAACCATAACAAACAAGGTTAGACTGCATTTCGCTCTCCCTCTGTCATTGGAAGCCTGCCATATAAACTTTTCTTACAAAATTGAAAATTAGAACAAAATTAGAAGGAAAAAAAAACAGAAAGTACTTTTTTACAAGCTCTGTGTGACTCATGCAGACATGATAAACTTTTCAACGAGGTGTCGCATAATGTCATAAATTTTCTTCTAGCAACTAGTACAAGAAAATGAAACTACTCGCAGCATAGAAATGAAATTTTATGACCAGCAACAACATGGGATTTGAACCTCCACTCATATCTTGGAAAAGATGAAAAAAAAAAACATTAAGAAAAGAATCTGCTTCTATGTATTCTTGAGTGATTTCTTAGCATTTCTCATTCTTACGAAACATCAAAACAGATAAAAAAAAAAGTTGCACAAGAAGTTTCAAATTAAGCAACTTGATTTTTTTTCTTATCAGGAGTTTGGCAGAGAGATATCAGAAAAAGAAAGCCTCCAAGCTCTTGCAGAAGTTGATGAAACCACCCAAGACATTCATCAGGGAGAGAGGCTCTCTGATTCACCTTCCGACAAGCCAATTTCAACAGAAGCAGAACCCCAAGAAACCACAGAGAGGAAGGAAGATGCTCCACAATGGCTGCTGCGGGAGCCGATTGTTGAAGCCTCACAGAGTGCTGAAGTTGGAGAATCACAACCTGGAAATGCTATAGGAAACGTCGATTCACAAGGACCCAAACATGGAACAGAGAGAAGTATTGATGAGACCAAGTCAGCAAATATTTCATTGTTTGACATGATGCAGAAATCCACAAGAGAAAGACAAGTTGTTAGAGACCTGACAGAAGAAAAAGAAGCGAATGCAAGCAAAGAAGAAACAAGATTCGAAGGAGTGAAGATAAAATCAGATGAAGAGGAAAAAGAGGAACACAAACAGACAGACACCAGCTCCGATGCTCCAGTCATGGTAGAAGCATCTAGGGATATAGTAGATGTGAAGGTTGCACACAAAAAGTCTCATAGTATACTATCAGGTGTTGGATCAAAAGTGAAGAACTCAATTTCTAAGGTGAAGAAAGCCATTAGAGGAAAGTCTTCTCATCCAAAACAACATTCACCAAGATGAAGCACAAAACACAGCATGGTTTACTTTCGAACATACGTTAAGGTTTAAGTGTGGCAGCTTGTATATACAGGAGCTTATGTTTTCAGATTCTGGATTTTGTGAGTTTTAATGCAGTGAGCTTGTACATTACAGTTCGAATGTTTGTAGGAAAAATATATAAAATTCTCTAGTGTGAAAACAGGAATTGATGTCACGACTTTTTAAAAGACCTAATTTGTTACCAGGGATTCCAGGCCAAGCCGAGAAAAAGAAAAATTACAGTTTTGGAAGTTAACCCTTTACTTAACACCAAAACAACACCTCTAATTAACCATTTACAGCGATGTTTGAACGGGAAATAGATAAGGCATGGAGGGTAGAGAGCCTTAAACTAATGGGAAATATTGGGCTTTGCAACAAGTATTATTTAAAGTAATAATAGCCTTTGCTTTGGTGTTTACCAAGGTGATCATCATAGCCAATGGTGTACCAGACCTGCGCTGGGTCACGAATCCTGACCGAAGGATCAATTTGGGAGTAGCCATGGCTGATGGCACCTGTTCCCTCGCCTTGTTCTGTTCTTAAAATAGATGGGTCATGGGTGTACAGAGGAGCTGGTTTCAGCTAATCCCATGCAGATTTGTCATATTAGCGAGAAGACAACAATGGGCGAGACTCAAATCGGAGACCAAACCTTTTGATGCTGGCATTCTTCTAACCTACCAATAAATCTATAGTTCAAGCAACATTCATGATAATAGGGAAAACAAAACCATTGCTCTTATAAAGAAGCCAATCCTGTTATCCTTTTAAAATGAGAGTTGTAAAAAAACAAAAAACAAACACCTCCTAACGTTCCTAACTTCACAAATCTTGCTACAATGTAGGTGTTCACATCACAAGAGGTGCCACAAAAATTATTGTGTGACTGACATGTTTAGCGGCCTTGTCCACGCCCACACCCATGCCCACGACCCCGACCCAAAGGCCTCCCTGTAATTTTTGAAGAATCAAAACTATTAGCATCTTGTAGCTAGTATACTGGAAAAGAATTGTTATGTCAAAATGTTAATATAAGTCTAGTTGAAGCCAAAAGGATGAGAGCCATACCAGCTGTTGGTGTCTTAGGTTTGACCCAAGGTGTCTCCTCAACCAGCAAAAAGTCTCAAGATTCAAGCTGTGATGAAGGATGTATTACCAAATGTTATTAGTTTGCTATCCCTCACACTGAGGTGATCCAAAGTTACTGGATTTTTCCCTTTCACTGTTGTCAGATGAGTATTCATACTGATATCCAGACCTACAATCAACAAAAAAACCAATCCGATTGGCATTTCTTCACCTGTTCCAACATGTGCCCTGTAAAAATAAATGGTAATTTCTGTACAACTACCGGAAAAATCAAGTTTGGGATGCTCCAAAAAGTGAAAAGAAAGGAAATATTAAAACAATAAAGCATGCAAGTACCATTAAGTATCAGCTAAAGAAACTCCAAGAACCCTCGAGCTGAAGTTCATCAAGGGACTATATCAACAATTCCATCCCATAGCAGTTTCCTTGAAAGAGAAAAACATACGAAATTCTCAAGTTCTCCTCCATCTAGACACCCCAAACAACTATAAAGACAAAACTGGTTCGCAAGGTCTTACAATCTTCCCCAGATTAAAGCTTCTACAATACATCATGTTGATGCTCAACCAGCACAGCCACGTTAAATCTGATTGTCAATAAAATTCAAATGGCCAGGCAATTAATTGACTTATGTCGAATAGCTGTAAACAGGAAAAAGTAATGTAATGTTGTAATGATAGGAATAAAATGCGGAGGATTGTTAAAGGTTTTGGAGGAGGTGTATGCATCCTCAAGTTAACATGAGTCTCAACTGGCTGTACTGTGGAAAAGAACATAGGAGACTATCAAATTAGATAAATCAGATTGCTTACACTAATCAGCAGAAAAAGGCAGAAAATCAGTGTCTCATCACCGCAGGGCAAACACTTATAAAGGATAACTAACAATTGCTGACACGTACAAAGGATAACCTAATAATTGTTGACATTTGACTTTGCCATCTTATCTGGAGGCATATGGATGGAACTTGGTGACAGTGGTAGCATTAGAGACATAAAAAATTCCATAGAGCAGACGCAAACCATGCAGGAAAAGAAAAGGAACCTTATTGAGTGGCCCAATAAAAGTACCTTTGGAATTAGTTATACCAAGATGAGGACAAATGAACAAACAACATGTCATGTGATAAAATGTACAAGCATAACGTTTCAGGGTCAGTTACAAAGACCAGCAGCTTCTTCAAGCTCCAGCAATAGAGGTGTCTCTATGTTCCGTGTTGCACATGATGAGTATCCTAGAAGTGTATTTTTCAGAATATGCCCTAATGGTATCCACAAGAATCATTCTCATATTTAGAACAAAATCTATCAAGCAGTTTATTCACAATGGCAGGCATCTTGCTTAATAGTCTACTGAGGACTGCTAACTGCCTTTGCTGCTTATAATGAGCAAGTGTTTATATTTTTAATCACAAAACCAAACAACCAATCATCCTAGGTTAGTTGTAAAATTAACTGTCTAGTTTTTTTTGTAGTATTTTAGAACAATTAGCAGCCATGTCATTGAATCAAGAAAATTGCCAGCTTTGATAGTTCGTACATAGCAGAACCAGTTGCATCTCTTTTCGTACATGCCTTCATCATAATCCGTGTCCTAATACTGTTACATAGATTAAAAATGGAGAAATCAACGTCATCTGTATAATATATTGTTGAAACCATCATCAAGTTGCTGTCAAATAAAAATCCACAGTATCACATAAACCGTCAGTACACTCAGTGCACACTCGAGATCAGATTGAAATACCTAATCCAGACCAGAAACATCAGTTGATGAACGAATTGTAAACTAATATCTGCCTATGATTAAAAGATTAAATACTAACATCCCCCGTATCTTAGGCTTTTAAACAACGAATAAAAAAGTTTGCCCCATGTTTACCACACCATGTATTGATTCATCTCCGATGTCATTTTCAACAGTTGATTCACCAGTAAATTACAAAGCCCTAATCTATATCCTTGGTCATTTTCAGTAGCTTCCTTGAATATGAAAGTCAAATTGCAATATTTTGAGAACGCCCTGAATCCAATCAGCAAATAATTAGAGCTAATTAGCCAAATTGATTGTGACAAATAAAGAATTGGTTTTAATTTTTCTTTATGAATCATGTCATGAAAAGCAAATAGTTCATGGGTCCACTGGATAAATTAAATTTTTCCTCTTATATTGAATCTCCAATTGCTCTTCAGATATATATACACAAAATGATATATTTGATAAAACTAAAAAGAAAATGGAGAGATTGAAACCTGCAATGGTGCCCCATTCTTTATTTCAATTGAGACAGTCTCATTGCTGAACTTATCAAAAACCTAAAATGAGTGATCAACAAAAGAATCAGATGACAAAGAGAGACTTTAGAGTTAGATTACTAAGGAAAAAGAGCGTAACAATCACCTTGGCTTTGGAAGCGAGAGCTAGCCAGGAGTTAAACCTTAAAGAAACGCAAAAGGCCATGGCAAGTTAGACTATCCTTTACTGAGGTTAATCGCATTTTATTCTTCTTATTTTCTTAACGCGGCTCCTGTCCAACTGTTTTCCGGCCACTTATTATATCAAATTGACAATTGTCTTATTATACCACGTGTTGGAGAATGGCTTTGGAAATGGAGGCCATCCAACTATGAGCTCTGAAGCAACTTTTCTCATGGTTGGACTAAATTTGAGATCAGCAATCAAGCATGCAAATGCTATTTTGGCGACGCCACATCATCTGCAACTTGATTTTTAGGAAGAGGGATCCTTTGTCTATTGCGTCCTTCAACAATGTCTATTGGTGGATTTGTGAGGATGATGATGAGAGAGATGCTGACAATGAAAGAGATGAGATGAGATCACGATGCCTTCCCATAATTACTTCCATTGTTACCACTCCAAATAACAGAAAAATTATGTTTAACAATTTTTGTTTTCATTGCGTTTCTCAGTGGAAAGCCAACGGCTTTATAGGCAGGTGGCATGGCAGCTAGGCAGAGTAAGTTTACAAAGTGCCGACTAAACAACAATAACAACAATAACTAACAACTGTAGAAGCAAAATGTGACTAACTAAAAAAGAGCTCTCATTAGTAATAGTAGTGTAGTAGTGGCCTAGAGTGAGAAAGTAGAGAGAGATGCTCTCCTTCCAGGGAGAACTTTCCCTCATGTCTGGTTGGTGCTATTGCTTGTGTCTTTTGCTCTTTCAACTTCTATTGATCTCTCTTCTTGTGCCTCTCCCTTATTCCTTATTGTTACTATTCACCGTTCTCCTCTCTCTCTATCCGATTCCTTCTCTTCTCCACCCTTTCTTTTAGTTGTTTCATGGCCGAAGAAGAAGAAATATGGTTCCAAAGCTGCAAAAGCAAGTGTGAGGAGAGATTTAGATGATCCAGATGTTGGCCACTACTGCCCCGCTTGGTCCTCCTTCTCCCCATCTAGCGTGGTTACTATTCCTAGATCCGGATCCGCCAAAAATGTGGTCGACGGGTCCAAATACCTTGCTCAACATGTTCCATTTGACATATGGAGGTTGAAGATTGCTCGAGTGACGAAGATTCGGCCTTTAAAGATGATAGCTTGGAAGGTTCGGATCTAGATGAAAACTATGGCTCACACTCAAAATTTTTCAAAGCTCGTTCTCCCGCCCCTAGAGGTCGTTGAGGCAAGGAATCGGCCAAGTGTTGACAAACAAGTTAGTGGGAAGATGATTTCAAGGTTGGGTAAGCTCCCAAAAAGTCCAATTTCACAAATGGCAACTGTTGGCACTTCTTCTCCACTCGTCGAGAGACAATGTTGTTCAAGTTACGGATACTACTCAAACTCGGCTTCTTTCTCGACTAAATAGTGGGCATATTTCGATGTTGTGACTATAAATGAATCGAGAGATCTGCCTCTCCTCCTTCCGGAACGGTTTACCCCGCACCGAGAGACAAACCTAGCTTTCGACCTATTGCCAATCCGAGTAATTTCGAGCCCCATTACGGAAAATGGAGAGATTTATTTGCTAATAACCATAGTGTTGAATCATGTCCAAAGCTTACTCATTTTTCTCGCCATTACCGATACTAAAACTTACATATTGCTTGATGATGACTCGAGATGTGAAGTATGGAAGTATTGTTTGGTTGGGTATGTTGCTGAGAAATCTCCGGGATTTAGTGCCCTAAATGGGATTATTGCTAACACATGAAAACGTGAGGCTTCATTACCTATTCATGACTTAGGTTGGTTGGTTTATAAGTTTGCCTCGGAGGAGGATAAATTATAAATTATCCGTGTTAAATGGAGGTCCGTACTTGATCTTTTGTCGGCTTTTGCTTTTGAGGTCTATGTCGGAGTTTTTTGATTTTTCGAGCGAGGAGATGTCGATGGTGCCGGTTTGGGTAAAGTTTCCAAATCTTGCCCTTAAATATTGGTCCACTTTGTGTATTTCGAAAATTGCTAGCTTACTTGGTAAACTAATTCAATGTGATAGATTGACTACCTCTATGGATCGGATTTCTTATGCGAGGGTTGTGGTTGAGCTAAACATTATGAAGGAATTGTCGAAAGTGGTCAAAATTAGGTTTCCGAATGGTTCCATTCTTCTTCGACCTATCGTCTACGAAACTTTACCTACTCATTGCAAGGTTTGTCGTGTTTTAGGGCACTCTATTGCTTCTTGTGGTAAATGATCGGTCGATGTGAATCTAGACAATGAAAGGGTCGTAAATGAGGCAGAGCATGCGGATCGAGCCGGGGTGAGTGTGTTTTATAGGTCGGGAATTCGTTGCTACTCGCTACGATCACCATTATGTCACCGAGTGGAAAATCATTTTGACCCTATGTGTTTGGAGGCAGTGCCGCTTCGATGCATGGGAGATAGTTAGAGGTAAAGCCAAAGCTAAGTCCTAGCAAAACTACCAAGCTTAGCATTGGCGAATACTCCTGCACAACCTCGGTAGAATAAGCAAGCTCGAGCTTAGCGGGAAAGTCAACCAATTCTTGGCCTCGAATCCGATGCTCGGACAAGGAAAGGTAAAGGCTGTTGAAGATGGTAAAGATAATATGGGGGTTGGCCTAAGCCAAGGTGCTACTGATGAGGGCGGTTAGAGAGAATCTTGTTGGCCGAGGTAAGTCTGGACGATCATGTCGTCGAGATTGTCGGCCTAAGTGGCGGAATCAATGTTTGTTTTTCGGGATAGGAAGATGATGTATTTGGTATTGAAAGTGAAACTAGGGGTGAATATGGCGACCATGTTTATTAGAGCAGAGCAATCAGCCAATGGTTTTAGAGAAAGCTCTCAAGGAGTGACCACTAAAAGGAGTAGAAGTGCAAAAGGGGTGCTTAGAGGGTTCCTATCACCTCGGCGACTATATGTTGATTTTCACTTGAAATGTTAGGGGTCTAAATAGTCCCCTAAACCAGCATGAGGTTGTTGGCCTCATAAGAAAGAAGAAGATGGATGTTTGTGCTTTTGTTGAAACCAAGCTTAGTCTTCCTAAACTTACACAAATGCACAAGGTTTAGTTTAAGCAATTGAGGTTTATTTCCAATGCAAATGTGGCCTCCAATGCCCGTATTGCTCTTTTTGGAATTTGGATACTTGTTTTGATTGATCTTCTAAATGTTTCGACATAAGGGTTGAATGTTAAGATCAGTAGCCTTGTCCATCAAATGGGATTTAATGCTACTTTTGTGTATGCTTACAATATAATTATTCAAAGATGGGAGTTATAGGATGATCTTCATAGATAGAACCCTAATTATCATTAGATCGTTCTTGGGGATTTTAACTCGATCCTCTCACAAGATGCAAGCACAATGGTGTGGCGGTATCTTGTTATGAGACTTCGGACTTCCGTTCTCGTTGCTTGGATCTTGGTCTTAACGATCTCAATTATACGAAAAGTCACTTCACATGGAATAGTGGCGGTGTTTGGACTAAGAGTGATAGAGTTTTAGCTAACCTCCATTGGTCTACGATACAACATCTTGCTTTTGTCCATTTCAACTCGTCGAGAGCTTTCTCGGACCATGCTCGAAGCATCGGTTCAATTAGCTAACCAATCCCCTCCTAGCCGTAAATGCTTCAAATTTTTTAATATGTGGGCTAATCATGAGGGCTTGCTCGGACTATTGAACAACATTGGCATTGTGATTCTAGGGGTAGCCTCTATATATGTCTTGTGCGGGAAGTTGAAGACTTTGAAGGGACCTTTGAAAATTTTGAATAAGCTTCATTTCAGCCACATTTTCGAGAGGGTTGCTCGAGTAGTTGACGACCTTGAGCGCCACCGGCGGACTCTTTATAATGACGGGGATAACACCCTCCTTTTAGAGCAAGAAAGGCTATTGAGCACGAATTTGTTTAATCTAAAGTCGATGAAGAAGATGTTCTTCGGACAAAAACTAAAATGCAAGTTTCTTAAGGATAGTAATAAGGGCGACTGATTCTTTCATACTTTTATGAGCCAAAGCCATAAAAGGAACTTCATTGCGACCATCCAAGGAAATAATGGGCGGTTTACCACTTCTCTTAATACCGTGGTGGGTATTTTTATTGACTATTGTAGAAATCGCTTGGTTTATCTTAGGAAACTCTTCTTTTTGATGTGGAGTTTATTGCTAGTGGGTCTTGTCTTGCTCCTAGTGTTTCGATATGCTACTAGCCTTGGTCACTAATGAGTATATCAAGGTGACTCTGTTTGGGATTGATAATGATAAAGCCACGAGGTCGGATGGGTATTCTTCATTGTTTTTCAAGAAAGTTTAGAATATTGTTGGTGCTGATTTTTATCTTTGCGGTGAAGGATTTCTTTATCTCTAAGAGACTCCTCAAAAAAGTCAATCATTTTTTTATTACCTTGGTTCTCAAATCGGTTAATGCGTCATCACCTTCGGACTTTACACCAATATCTTGCTACAATGTTGTGTATAAAATGATTTTTAAGATTCTCTCTTTCGAGTTAGCCCTAGCTTTGTGTGATATTATAAGTCCCATACGAATGCTTTCTTAGGAGGGAGGAAGATGTCGGATAATATTCACCTGCTCCATGAGCTTACGCGATAGTATGGTAGGTAACGGGCTTCCTCGAGATGTCTTTTAAAGGTTGATTTCAAGAAAGCTTTTGATTCGGTGCGATGGCCCTTCTTGAGAGATATCCTTTTACAACTTGGTTTTTCGAATGCCTTAGTACACTTGGTTATGACTTATGTGGAGTCTTCTTCCTACTCAATTCGCTATGAATGGTGATCTTTTTGGTTTCTTTCCGGGCAAATGGGGAATCAAGCGAGGAGACCCCCTTTCTTTTACCTCTTCATGCTTTGTATGGAATACTTTTTTCGTATGCTTATGAACACATCTGCTAGTGCTGATTTCGGGTTTCATCCGAAATGTGGGGTTCAACGGATTAGCCACATTGCTTTTGTTGATGATGCTATGCTTCTTTGTTAAGGAGATAGATCATCGGTTCGGTGTTTATACGAACAGTCGAGTACTTTCGATAGAACCTGCGGGCTTGCTATCAATGCGGTTAAATTTTCTATTTATTTTAGGAGGGTTAGAAACGACTTGACGTTAGTTCTCCTATAGGATACGAGCTTCACCGAAGGTACCTTTCCATTTCGATATCCGAGGGTTCCTCTAAGTCCTCATAGATTGCTTGGCTAGTTAGTTTTTGCCTTTCTTTGCGAGTTTGGAATCGATTGTCCAATCCTGGATGGGGAAGCATCTCTCTTATCTTTGGTCGGTTAGAGCTACTGCAATCGATCTTGGCTGGTACAATTCGGTTTTAGCTTGCTATTTTTCCTATCCCGCTATGGTCATCTATCGTATCACTATTATTTGCGGGAATTTCCTTTGGATCTGGGGATGTGAGCAAATGTCATTCGAGCTTTGGTTGCATGGAAGGAGCTTTGTTACCCAAAAAGGAAGGGGTATGGGTTTATGTGACTTAAAAACCCTCGATTCTTGTTTCTTTGCTAAGCGGTTTTGGGATATCCATCTCAAAGATGATTCAATTTGGATTCGATGGGTCCATCACTTCTACTTGCAAGATTAAATGGTATGGGATATCCAACCATACGGGAATGCTTTGCCCTTGTGAAAAGCGATTATATCCATAAGGGATCGAGCTTATTGAGAAATTTGAGGATAGAGCTCGGGTGGTTGAAATAATGAGGAATTAAAGCCAAGGCGGATTCTCTCGTAATGCTTATGAAAATCTTAGACCTATAGGTGTGACGGTTAATTGGACCGGGGAGTTTGGGAACCATCAACCTTGTCGAGGCATGTGTTTATGTTATGGCTAGCGACAAAGGAAAGCTGAAAACTATTGACGACCTCGACTTTGTCCTCGAAGATACAAACTATGCTCTTTGTAAGCTTGATCTAAAATCACATCGCCATCTATTCTTTGAGTGTACTTAGACAGGTTGGTTTATGGGCTAAGGTTAGACAATGGTTGAGAATTAGAAGAAACATGTCTACACTAACAAGTGCTTATTAGGGCCCTTTCCATCCGGAGGAATAATTTGGAAGCTAGGATGCGAAGAGTCTCTTTGGAAATCACGAGTGTACCTTATTTGAGAGGCGAGGAACAAGATAATTTTTTATGGTTTGGCTTCGAAGGTTTGCTTGGAGCTAGCCTCCTTAGGGTTTTGTCTTGTGTTTGGTCCGATTGGCGTAGTGGATTTTCCATGTTAGGCTTATCTTCCCGATTTTTGATTTTGTGTAGCTTCATTCTGCTTTGTTCATATCGATTGTTGCTTCGGCTTTGGTTGGTAGTTGTTTTATAGTTATTGGATCATTCTTTATGGTCCATTCTCGACTAATTTACGTTCTTTGTAGAGCCACTTGTACATGGTTCCGATTAGCTAAAACAATTGTTTCGATTGGTTTTTCTTGGAATCCTTAACGCCGATTCCTTGAACAACCTTTTGTATCTAGCTTCTTTTACTTTTGGTTTGTTGGGAGCTCGTTCTCAAATTCATGTATATCTTGTATATGCTATCGTTATTCTTGGTTTCCTGGCTTTGTTTCTTTTTATTTATATACTTACATTTAGATTAAAAAAAATATGACTAACTACTAACAGATTACTTAGATTAACTAACTAACAAATATTAATCGGTGATACCCCCTTTAAGGTGGAGCATACATATTGTGGATGCCCAACTTGGATACGGAGCTGCAAAAAAGTGATACGGATAAAGGTTTGGTGAAGCGATCTGCTAGTCGGTGAGTTGAGGACACGGACGAAGCTTGAGTGAACTTTCTCGTGGACAAGATGGCAATTAAGCTCTATATGTTTTGTGCATTCATGAAACACTGGATTGTCGGCAATGTGAAGAGTCGATTAGTTGTCATAAAATAATAAGGCGGGGGAGAATGAGAGACGAGTAAGATCATGCAAAAGATAAAGTAGCCATTGTAGCTCACAAAAAGCTTGAAGAAGGGCTCGATATTCGATCTCGTAGCTGCATTTAGAAATGGTGGCTAGTTTCTTTGATTTCCAAGAAACAAGGAAAGAGCCCAAAAACATACAATACCTCGTGATGGATTTTCCGGCATCCGAACAATTTGCCCAATCGAGTCAAAAAGCCTTATAGTTGGAAAGAGCTGGTGACGGGGAAGAATAAACCACGACACTGGAGCGACCTTAATGAAACGAAGAATCCTGTGAGCAACCTTTATGTGATTCTTAGTAGGGCAATCGAGAAATTGGGAGAGTTGTTGGACGGCGAAAGCAATATCGGGTCTTTTGTGGTTAAGTAAAGCAATCGCCAACAAGATTGTGATATTCGAGTACGATCAATCACGAGAGGACCATTGTCCTTGCATAATTCATGAGCTGGGATCATTGGAGTAGAAACAAGCTTTGAAGTAAGAAAGCTTGAGTCTTGTAACAATTTAAGGGCATACTTCGGCTGACACAAGTTAATGCCCTTAGAAGATCTAGCAACTTCAAGACCGAGAAGAACTTGAGGGGACCTAAATCCTTGATTTTGAATTGATCATGGAGAAAGGATTTAAGTTGAGTGATCCGATCCATATTGCTACTGGCTAATATCATATCATCCACATATACCAATACGATAATAAACTGAC